CAGCCCCTCCCGAAAAAAGTGAAGCGCAGGACGGGGTCCGGTGGATGGGAGGCAAGGAAGCGCGGGGGGGTTGCCACGTGCGCTACCGCCGCCGCCGCAGGCAGCACCCCTGCGGCGGCGGCAGCGGCAGCAAGCCGTGGACCCAAACGCCGTGCCGCCGCCGCCGCAGGCAGCACCCCTGCGACGGCGGCGGCAGCAAGCCGTGGACCGAAACGCCGTGCCGCCGAGTCCCGTGGCTGTGGCCGTGGGCTTCTGGCAGGAAACTACGGCCGCAGCTCGGCAGCACGGGGGCGTCGCAGCGTGCCGCCGCCGCCGCCGCGCTGCCCCCCCGGGCACGGCGGCGGCGGCAGCAAGCTTGGGCCCAAACGCCGTGCCGCCGAGTCCCGTGGCTGCGACCGTAGACCGTGGGCCGGAAACTGCGGCCGCAGCTCGGCGGCACGTGGTTCTGGTCAAATCGCCAAGCGTGCAGCAGCGCCGAACCACGCTTCCCGGCCTCGGCGCATGCCTTCAGGGGCCCCCTATCGCTGGGCACACCCCTCCAACACCGAACATGCGCCCGGGGGGGAGGGCGGCCCGGGCTGCCCAGGCCAAAGTGGGCCGCCCTCGAGCAAGAGGCGGCCGGGCTGTGTGCTGAATGAATGAATGAATGAATGGCGAGCTGTGCCGGAATCCCAAGCACTGCTGTGCCAAATGGGTGAGCGAGAGCGGACAGCTCCAGGTGTGCTGTGCCTGCCAGCCTCCTGCCAGTGCTGCCCAGCATGCGCAGCAGAGCGGGTGCCTGCTGGTGCACCTTCTGCAAACACTGCGTGAGAACTTTCATGAGCACCATGTGATGTGCTGCCGCTTTCCGGACAGCTGGCGCTGCCTTCCATGCCTCTCTCCGGAACACATGTGCAGCTCGCGCTAACTGCCACGTGCAGGGCACCTGCGGCACTGGCGAAAAGTACTGTGGTGCCAAGTGCATCAGTGGACCCTGCTTTTCTAAGCAGAAGCCCTCGCCTACGCCAAAACCGTCACCTTCCCCAAAGCCCAAGCCCTCGCCATCACCCAAGCCCAAGCCCTCTCCATCACCCAAGCCCAAGCCCTCGCCTATCCCCAAGCCTCGCCCCTCCCCTTCCCCAGACCTCCCTGTTTACCCTGAAGACAACTCCGTAGCCGGTGAGGCAGCTCTGCCTTCCAGGGCACCTGCCGTGCCCCCGCCTCGCGCAGCCTGTGCCAAAGCGCGTCCGTCCGCTGCTTCTTGCTGCTGCGACCAACTTGCTGGCATGCTGCTGCCCCTCGGGTGCATGTCTCGCTGCCACCGCCCAACGGCCCCGCTCACCCCTCCTTGCCCCTCCTGAACCTCGTCCGCCTGATCTCACCCTTTCTCCTCTGTGCCCTTCTGACCCGTGACCCTCCACAGACGAGTATTATGTGAAGGCGAGTGACGAGTCGCTGGTACAGATTTCGTGCGACGCGGGGGCGGTCATCCTGGGCCTGCGCAAGCCCCGCTACGGCAGCCAGGCAGCAGGCTGCAACTCCACAGACTCGTACCGGTGAGCAGGTGGCGGCCGGGCTGTCCCACACTGCACAGGGAGTGGTGGGCGCAGGGGACGGGCCGACTGGGCTCTCCTCAGGGCTCCTCGCTGGGGGCAGGGACGTCACTGGCAAGGGCAGCTGCTGGCTGGGCGCCGTGATGGGACCCAGCGCTGCACCGGCCCCGACTCCCTCCTCCCCTTCACTGCCCTGGGCCCCCACAGCATCGTGGCCGCCGCCTGCCTGGGGGAGCAGCAGTGCGTGCTGCGCTCCTCCGCCGACGTGTACGGCGACCCCTGCCCCGCCGGTACCATCAAGAGCCTGGAGCTCACCTACTGGTGCGCTGGCAGCCAGCTGGCGCCACGTGGCGGCTGCCGCTGCTGGGCCCCAGCCCCGCCTGGCAGCAGCTGTCTCAGGCTGGCTGGCGCCTGGCCGCACCTCTCTTGCACAGCGCTCAGCGCAGGTGCTTGCCACGCCCTGCCTCGCCTGCAGGTGCTCCCAGTCCTCCCTGCAATCCATCCCGCCCTCGCCCTCACCGAAGCCCTCTCCGCCACCATTCCCCAAGCCCTCCCCTCCTCCGTCCCCCAGGCCCTCCCCATCCCCCTCTGGCAACCCCATCGATCCCCAGGAGGTGGACGACAAGCCTGGCTCCTTCTCCAGCCTGTGGGGCAGGTCGGGCGAGCGGTGGAGCCCCGCCGGCAAGCTGACCGACTGGAGCTACGCCGGCTATGCGGGTGAGCAGGGGCGCCAGGCCAGCCTCAGCCAACTGAGATGGGCTGGCTGGAAAGCCTTGAAAGCCTGCAGCCAGCATGCGGCCCTGCCTGGCACACCGTGTGCTGCACGCCACCCTGGTGCCCGCCCGCCGCCGTCGTGCCTCGGAACCGGCACCGCCCAACTGCCCTGCGCTGCAGCCAACGACCAGCCCATTCCTGACTATCCAGCCAAGTTTAACGTCCAGGACTTTGGGGCTGTGGCAGACGGCAGGACAGGTGGGGTCCCGCCAGCGCGGCACACGCCGCGGCGCGCCGCCGCCGTGCACGCTCGAGGCCTGCGCACCTCACCTGAAGCGGGCCCTGGTGGCCTAGCCGATCTGCCGCCTGCCACCTGCACCTGCACCTGCCAGCCGCCGCTGCACGCACCGTCCCTCGACGCCTGGCCGCAGACAGCGCTGTGGCTTTCCAGAAGGCCGTTGACGCCGCCGCGCGCTCCCCCTACGCCGCCACCGGGGTGGCGGTGGAGGTGCCCGCGGGCCGGTACGTGCTGCGAAAGGCCATCACCATCACCAACAGCAATGTGGCGCTGCGGGGCGCCGGGGTAAGGCTGGGGGGGGCTGGCAGGCTGGGAGGCCCCCTGGGGCCCGCCACCCTTCTCCTGCCGGCGATTTGTGCAATGGCAGACGCGCGTGCGCACCTGCCAGGCGGCGGCACAGGCACACCGTCTGCCTGCCTTCGACCCCGACTCTCTGCCTGACTGACTGGCTGTACCTGTCCCTCTCTGGCCTCTGCCCAGGCCGGCAAGACCGTCCTGTACTTCCCACAGACAATGTCCGAGCTGTTTGGCCCCTCGCCCAACTGGGCCTTTGGCGGCTCATTCATCAGGTGAGGAGTGGGGCAGGCAGGGGAGGGCGGCATGAGCAGGAGAAGGCGCTCCAGCACAGCTCCCCTACCTGGACCCCCAGCTGAGCTACCATGAAATGGGCAGCCGTAGCGCCCCTATGCCTCAGCTGCATGTCCGTGACACTTGAGGCTTCTCTGCTGATCGTTCGCCCCTCGCCTGCCGTGCCCTGCGCCCCCTGCAGCATCGTGGGGCGCAAGGTCGACTCGGCCGCCCGAGCCAACTTCCTGGCTTCCATCACAAAGACCGCCCGCCGCGGCGACAGGCGCCTGCAGGCACGCCGCAGCGGGCAGCGCCGCCAGCCTGGCAGACGGGGGCTGAGCGGAAGGGGTTGCGCCTGGGTGCCCGCTCCACTCCCCCCCGCCTGCGGTGCAGCCAGCCTGCGGGGCGGCTGCCCACGTGTGTTGCTGCTCCGCCTCGGCCCTCCCATGCCGCTGCTCCCGCCGACCGCCTCCCCGCGCCACTCGCCTGCAGGTCAGCAACACCGACGTCTTCCGAGTAGGCCAGTGGGTGCGCCTGTGGGCCAGCAACCCCGGCAACCGCTCCCAGCGCCGCCGCTCGCTGCTGTCGCTGAAGGCCGGCCTGGCCGCCGGCGCCGCCACCCCCGCCAACCTCACCGCGGCGCAGTCGGGGCGCAGGCTGGCATCAGACGGCGACGACGACAGCTCCGCGTCGGGCGCCCCGCTGCGCCTGTTCCAAGACCCCTACCTTCAGGCCGCAGTGGCCGCCGCCGCGGCCGCGGAGGCCAAGGCCGCGGCGGCTGCCGCCGAGGCGGGCCCCGAGCCCGACAAGGCTGATGCTCTGTCTGCAGACCCTGTGGCAGCAGCGCTGGCAGCCGAGCAGGAGGCAGCAGAGCTGAACCCTCTGCAGCTGGATGCCATGCTGCTAGCGGCTGCGCGGTACGGCTCCATGGCTCTCGCCGCGGAGATCGCAGATGGCGAGTACGACCCCGCCTGGCTGGAGGAGTTTGCGTCCAACGTGGAAGGCGGCGGCGGCGGCGACGAGGGCGGCGACGAGGGCGGCGAGCGGGCCCCCGCCCAGGCGGTGCCCGGCAGCCTGGACTACTACCTGTATGGCGACAGCAGGGCGGTGGACAGCGGGGCAGACTACAGTGAGTGGTGGGGCTGTGAGGGGAGCAGGGCTGGGGAGATGGAGGCAACCGGGCAGGCTGTATTGGGGCAATGGCCATGGGGGGGTAAACGTGGGTTATGTGCTCTGGCGTGTATATCTCTCCTGATCCATTGGAGGTGGGCTGCAGGCTTGCGGGGGGCGCCCCCTGCACTTCCTTGCAGGCATGCCGCCTCACCCGCCCCTGCCTTGCTGCCCCCCTGCCTGGGCAGACGTGTTCCCCAAGAGCGACCACATCCGCATGGCCTCGCGGTGAGCGCCTGCTGCTGCTGGCGGCACCCCAACCATGGGCAGCGCAGGCTGCTGCTGCTGTGGCTTCTGCTGCTGTGCCTGAGCCGCGCGATGCCATGCACTCCTCAAGGACCTTGCGTTTCATGTTTATCTGTCCCCCGAGGGGCCGTCATGGGTGTGTGCAGCGTGTCTGCTGTCGGCGACGGCTGGATCGAGCTGGAGCGGCCGCTGCCCTGGGACATGCGGGAGCAGTGGGCGGTGAGGCGCCGCCGCCGGCCTGGCAGCGCTTGCTAGCCAGCTGGGAGTGGCACGTGACCCTGCTGCCTCGCTGGGCACTTGCCTGGCCATTGTCGGATGCCGGGCTGCCAATCCACGGCTAACCACCCTGCACCTGCCACCCCTCGCCCTCCCTTCCCCGCGTCCGCAGCCGGTGCTGCACAGGTTTGCCCCCACCGTGCAGAACAGCGGGCTGGAAGGGTTCACCGTGGAGTTTGCCTGGAGTGAGTGTGGCCCCGCCTACGGGGGCATCGCTGCCAGGCTGTGTGGCGTCGCCCGCCCCACACCTGTCACTCAGATCATGATTGTGCATGGCCCAGCCAACATCAGAAGGCCTATGGCTTGGAAGCTAGCCTTGCAACCGCGGTGCTGACCTGGCGGTGCTGATGTGGCGCCCTCGCCCGCGCCGCAGGCACCTTCCCCAGCCACTTCTCTGCCCAGGGAGCCAACGCCATCGCCCTGTACGATGCAGCCAACTGCTGGGTCCAAGATGTGAGGCCTCGCCCCAGCCTGCAGCCTCACCCCCTTTCGTCCGCGGCCTCCCGTCCGGCCCGAAGCACAGCCTGCCCGCCCTTCTTGCACCTCCCATCTCCCACCTACTCACAGCCTGGCCTCCCCTCTTTCTCTCGCCTCCCCCTCCCGCTTTCCTCTGAGCAGATCAAGGTGATCAACGGCGACAATGGGATCATCATGAGCGGCGTGGACTTCATCACTGTGGATCGCACGCGCTTCGAGGCCACGCGCAGCAGGTGGGTGGAGTGTGGTGGTGCGGCGTAGCGGTGCGGAGGGGACTGTTCATTGGGTGCAGAGGCGTGTCTGTGGCAGCGTTCAGCAAGGGAATTGGTGGGAGAGGAGCGGGCACGCGGCGCCGTCTGGGACCGAGCTGGGCCGGGCTGGCGTGCCGTGCTGCAGGGGCAAGGACAGCGGCCACCACGCGCTCTGGACATCCCGCAGCGCCGATGTGCGGTTCACAAGGTGAGGCGGCGTGCCGGGCGCCTGGGCTGTGCTGCTCCAAAAGCCTTCCCCTCACTTGTGCCAGCCCCCCATTCGGCATCCCAACACACCTGCCGATCGGCCTGCCCTGCTCCCTCCCTCACTCCCCCAAACCACCACACAAACATCCACAGCTTCTGGATAGAGGGAGGCTGGGTGCACGACATATCGCTGGACCAGTTTGCCGAGCTGATGGTGTACGCCAACGGCGGCGGCACCAACGTCAACATCGACTGCCACAGGGCGGGTGGGTGGCAGCTGGCCTGGCTGTATGCAGACACAGCCATCGAGCTACGCAGGCAGGCAGGCAGGCAGGCAGCCGGGCAGCCAGGCAGCCAGGCAGCACCATCTGTTGGATGGCAGGGCTCCTTGGTTCCCTTGCGCCACTTCACGCCTCACTCTCTGCCCGCCTGCCTGCCTGTCCCTCCTGGCGTTGCTGCCCCTTGCCCTGCCGCCGCTGCCACCGCAGGCAGCCACAGCAACCTGTTCAGTAACATCAACTTTGGCGCGGGCACGCGCCCCTTCTGGAGTGGCGGCGAAAAGTCGCGCGGCGCCCACAGCGGCGCCAACAACACCTTTTGGAACCTGTGGGGCGACCGCGCCCTGGAGCTGCCGCCCTGCAGCTACGGCCCCATGCTCACCTTTGTCGGCAACTTTGGCGGCCAGAGTGAGCCATGCCAGGCTGGTGCTGGTCTGCGCTTCTTCTGCGCTGCACTGGGCTGCTGTGCTGTGCTGTGCTGTGCTGTGCTGTGCTGCGTTTGCGCTGCAGGTGGGCGTAACGCTGCCGCTGCTTGCTGCCAGCCGCTAAATGTGTGCTTGCGCCTGCTGCTGCCGCAGAGTCCAGCCGCCGCCGTGAGCTGCTGGCCCAACAGCCCGATGCCGCGGCAGACCGCTACCAGGGCGAGGCCTTTGTGTCTGCCGTGGCTGTCGAGGGCGGCCCCATCATCATTCCTGAGGAGGAGGAGGCCAAGGCTGCCGCTGCCGGGGCTGAGGCACAGGCCCTGGGCAGCCGGCGGGGCCTGGAGTCGGCAGCAGGCGTGCCGCCGCCGCCCGCCCCCTCCGAGTGGCTGCCAGAGGATGTCTCGGTTGAGCCCTCGCCGCCCGAGCCTGCCGCACAGACATTCTACTCTTCTGATGAGGAGGAGAGCAGCGACGAAGAGGGCAGCGGCGAAGGCGGCGAGGAGGGCACCGCCGACGACGGCAGCAGCGGCGAGGCTGGAGCGCTGGCCGTGGGCGGCGAGTGCCGTGGGGTGGGCTGGTTTGTGGAGCGCATTCCCTTCAACCGCGCGCTGCCGCAGCTCCCAGCGGACTTGTTCCAGGCTCAGCTGGTGGCCCGCAAGCTGCGCCAGGCGGTCAGCAAGTGAGGCGGCCCAGCGCCAGCCAGCAGTCGCAAGCACTTTGCACTTTGCCCAAGGGCGGGGCCCTGCCTCTTGCCTTCTTCCTGGCCGCGGTTTGAACGCTGCTGCCACAACTTATTTTAAATATAAGTTCTCTTTATGTGCGTCGCTTTCCCATTTTGTCTCCTCACCCGGCTCATTGCTCAGGCATCACCCGCAGCTGTTGGCTTGTCTAGCTGGTCCAAGCTGAGCCGTTCCCTTTATTTCCTTGAAATCCTAGAAGCAGGTGATAATATGCAAGCTGCACGCCAGCCAGGGGGCGGCCTGCCCCACAGCCTGCCCAGCCAACTTGGGCGCTCGGCTTGATTCGCGGCAGGTATAGTACCGTTACAGCAAAGAAGGGTGTCAGTGCAGGGCTTGCAAGTACCAGGACGGGACGTGACAAATAAAGAGGAGGGTTCTTTGGGTGTGCACGCGCAGGGCAGAGAGTTGGGGGGTGCGGGGTGGGGGTTCGTTGCCCGCCTGGCGCCGGCGCTCCCGTCTGTGCGCGCCGGGTGGGCGGGGCAATGGCGCATTGAGGTCGCCAAAAACAAGGAAAGAATCTGCATCAAATCATCCGCCACCAGCCAACCCATTATACGCGGATGGCGGTGGGTAGTAACACCAGGCGCCGCAGGCGGGCCGGCACGGACCCCGCCAGCAGTTGCCAGTGCTAACAAGGGGCCTGGGCTAGCACATAAGAGCTACAGAAGGTGCTGGGGGTGCCGCGGCCGCCCGCTTACTGCTCGCCGCTGCACACCGGGAAGGGAGGCACGAGCACGGGAGAAGGGGCTCAAGAGCTGCACCAGGTGGAGGGGCGCCAAGAGCAGTGGGGGACACATGGTATGCCAGCGGTGCAGGGAGGCGGCCTGCACCACCACCATCTACCGGCGATGCCAGGCCAGCCACTGGTCGGCGGCAGGTCCGGCCCCGCGCTGCCACGCCCACCAGCACACCACACACACAGGCACGCCCACCAGCACACACCGAGATACACACACGCTGCGCCCGCCCCACCTGATCTTCTTCTTCAGCGACTCGATGTCCTCAACCAGCTCCTCGCGGCTGCTCTTGAACAGCAGGTAGCGGTAGGTGAACCAGGCGCTGTAGCCCAGGCCAACCAGCTCAAAAGCCTTGGGCAGCTGCGGTGCGGGGGGCGGCGAGGCGGGGGCCACGGGGCGTTGGCCGGCTGTGTGCCACAGGGCAGGCTGTGTGCCACAGTGCCGAGGGTCGCTGCCAGGCGCAAAGCGGCCAGCAGCGGCAGGGGGGCAGCGGCGGTGCTGCCGGCCGAGAGTCGTGCCGCGGTTGTACAGAAGCAAGCACGAATGGAGTCCATCCAAAAGTCCCAAATGCAGGCAGCGAGCAGCCTTGCACACAGCCCCTGCCAGGCCCCACAACTCTCCGCCCTGCCCGGGCCGCGGCACGCACCAGGGGGATGCTGTTGAGGGCACCCACGACAGTGGACGCCAGCCACAGCACGACAATGCCGCCGGCGCCGTACACGATCACCGAGGTCTTGTTCTCCACCTTGTCCCACTGCAGGCAGCCAGGGGGCGCAGGAGCAGCGCCCGGTTGGCTGCTGGGCCGCATGGGAACCAGCAGGAGACGTCTGGCCAGCTGCCGGTGCTGGTGGGGCCCGTTGGAACGGGGAGCGGTGGCGCGGAGGGCCCAGCCAGCCGTCGACTTTGCTGCGCAACTGGCGCCGCAGGGCGTGGCAGGCCCAAGGGCTGACTACTCCCGGGTGCCGTGCGCGCGAGCTGGTGCACCGTAGCAAAGAGCAAGCGATTAGCCAGCGGCAACGGGGGCTGGCGGCAGAGGCGCCAGCCATCTTGAGGGTCTCACCTTCTCCTGCAGGTCCTTCACCAGTGCGTCCACATCCACCTGGCTGCCCTCGGTGCTGGATGAGGCCTTCACCACGAACTTCCGCTGGGCGCGCACAGCCTGCGCCAACACCCATTCGAAGTGTCAGAGCCCTACAAACGGCGATGCGTGTGATCGCGGCCTGCAGGCTGCAGCAGTCGGCCCTACCAGCTGCTGCTGCGCCAGAGGGGCGCCGATGAAGCTCTTGCGGGCCACCCGGCTGGCGCTGCAGGGCAGCGCAGCGCGGGCCAGGGAGCTGTAGGCGACGGTCTGGGCGGCCATTGCTGCGGTGTGGGGTGGATGGAAGCAGAGGTGATTGTGGTGGCGGCGGAGGCTGCCCAGACGGCTTTGATGTGGCAGGGTGGAAGGCAGGATCTGGTTCATGGGGGCTGGCAAGTCTCCCACGCCCGCCCTTTGCCTCATCGCAGCGGCTGTGTGCGTGCAGAGCGTGCCTGGCAGCTGGTTTGGGCCGCTGCGCCGGCCCAGCCTGTGTCCAGGTGCCCCCGTTGATGGCTGTTGGTGCGAGCCGGTTCCTCTTCGCCCCCGAATGGTTGCTGCATTCTGAGCGCCTCCTCGAGCAATGTTTGAACTGCATGCACCATGAGGAGGCCGACAGAGAGAGGGGTGCAGAGCGGCGGTGGCAGCGTGGCGGCGGCCGCCGGGCTTGTGCTAGCACAGGGGCGCAAGAGGCGCGCCTTACATATAGGCACAGTTGGGGTGCCTTGAGCTCGTTGCATGTCGCCACAGGCGGCCGCGCTTGCTCAAACACTCTGGCTACCGACTCCGCTGCAGCAGCCTGCAGTTGCCGCTGCGCTGAGAAAGTGGTGACAATTTACATCGAATGAATTGAGCTGGTAGAGCTAGTAGATAAGCAAGTAGGTACACAGGGTAGAGGAGATTACATGCAGAGGAACAGTACTTCTATGGGCAGCTAACGTGATGCCGGGACTCTAAACACTGCGCGGTTTGGGGCTGCCGCAGCCAGGGCTTGCTCGCTGCACTCGCTCACACTCTCACTCAAGGTCTAATCGTCATCCTGGGTCAGGTCCACAAAATCTAGAGTCGCAGCGGCAGGGGCCTTGTTGCGTGGGCTCTGCCGCCACCCACGCTGCGCCTGCTGTTGCGGGCCGTCCTGGCGTGCCTTCTTGGCAGAACGCCCTGCTGCGCTGCTGCCGGCTACCAGCGGCAGCAGGCTGTCCGTGCTTGTGCTGCGCTTGCGATCCAGGATGCGCGGCACAGCCACCTCCTGCTGCTGCTGCTGCGCATGCTGCTGGCGTGCGCGCGCGGCCGCTGACGGTGGCGACGTCGCTGGCACTGCTGCAATCGCCTTGGGCTGCTCGATGTGCGCCTCAGGTTCCACCGGCTGCGACTGCGCATGCTGGTGGGCAATCCCGCTGCCGCCGCTTCCCACCACTGCGGAGTTGTGGCTGCGGCTGAGAGTGGCTGTTGCGGCTGCCCCACGTGTGGCAATTTTCAGAAGACTCTTCAGGCGGGAGACTGGCTGCTTGCTGGCAGCATGCCCGGTGGCAGATGGAGCCGCTGCGGCGGCTGGCGCTGCCTCTGCGCGAGGGGCCATGGCCGACGGCTGAGCAAGGGGACCAGAGGGCTGCATCTGCTGCTGCATTTCGTCTAGCCTGGGCCGTTTCTGCGACGGGCTACCAGGGATGCCACCAGAAGCTGGCGCAGCTCCCTGCTGCTGCTGCTGCTGTTGCTGCTGCTTCGCTTGGCGCTGCTCGCTGGTTGGCAGCAGCCCCTCGGCAGCAGCAGGCGGCCCATTGGCCTCGGCAGCCTCCCGGTCGCGCTTCTGACCAGTCAGCCCTGCGCCTGTGCCGGCTGATGCACGGGCGAGGCCGCCGTGCACCCCAGATGCTGGGCTGGCAGCAGCGGCAGCAGGCACGGCAGATGGTGTTGCAGCCGTGGCAGCAGCCGGCAGGGCAGCAGCCGAGCCCAGCTGGCCTCGTGTCTGCTGCCGAATCACCTCCAAAAATGTGCTCAGCTGTTGTTGCTGCTGCTGAATTGGCTGCTGCACGTGCTGCTGCTGCGCTGGAAGGTGCTGTGCGGGCTGGCGGGGCTGCTGCTGCGCCTGCTGCTGCTGCTGCCACTGCTGCTGCATCATCCACGCCATGGCCTGCTGCTGCTGGGCATGATAGGCATGCTGCACCTGCTGCTGGTTCACCACTTGCTGCACCTGCACCTGCACCTGCTGATGTTGCTGCTGCTGCTGCTGCTGCGCTGGAGGGCGCTCCAGCTCCTCCTCCTCGTCCTCACTCAAGTCGCCATACACCTGCACCCACACCACGCAGGCGCAGCACAAGCACGGCTCAGAGGGTGCCGTTTGTCGAATGCAACATCACTGCCCGGTGGCGCTTGGCCAGCATTTACTGAGCTTCAGCTCAACATCTCACCCGCCACCCCCACATCCCACCACCACCACCGCCAGCAGCACCGCCAGCACCCGGCCACACGCCCACCTTGCGCAGCCGCTCCATCTTGGCCCGTGCGGCGCGCGTCTGCACGCCGGTGGCCTCGCCCACGCGCCACTCCTTGTGCGCCTGCTTGGCGGCCTTGCGCTTCTCGTCCTCGGTCAGGCGCTGGGAGGGGTCGTCAGCCAGGTTCTTGTCATGGTCCTGCGGGGCAGGGGCAGGGACAAGGTCAAGCCTTCAAGTCTGACGAGAGCGGCAGAGCACGGGACGCTGGAAAACGTGAGACGAGCACAGTGCAGCCACAGCGCCGGCTGGGCAGCAGCGCCGGCAGCACGGCCCACCTCCACCTCCACAATGTGCAGTCCCCCCCTGCCGCCCGCTGCAGCCGCCTGCTGCGCATCGGCGGTGAGCAGCGCCGCCAGCGCTGGGTCATCCTGCTGCTCCCGGTGCGCCTGCAGGCCCTGCAGGCCGGCCAGCGGGGCACAAGAGGGCGAAGAGTACATGAGCAAAGGGGTTGCCATTGGAAGTGCAGGCTGGGCTGTGGGGAGGCTCGGAGGGACAGGGCACGCGACACAGCAGGCGGGCTGGCTGCGTCCTGCCCAGCTGGCAACAGGGCATGCCTGCGGGTCTGGTGTGTCTGGCTCGTAAAAGTATGCTGACAGCTTCTCAGCCTCCTTCTCAATCGTCCGTGCCTGCACGCATAGAGCGGGGGCACCTGTCTGCTTGCGCCGCCGCATTGGCAATGCAAGCGATGCATGCACATGGAAACGCAGCAAGCGCCCAAGGCCGCCCAACAGCTGCTTGTCTTGGCACGCACCCGCTTGACCGACTGGCGATCGATGACACGCTTAAAAAGCATGACTTTGTTGACGTTTCGAAGGTACACGTTGTACTGCGTGGCAGTGCAAAGGAATAGGGCACAGTGTGGGTGCAAGGGCCGATGCGGACAGCAGGAACAGGAACGAGCTCAGTGGCTGACAAACATGCTGGGGAGTTGCAGAAACAGGAGGCACCGCTGTACAGCGTACCTGCACGGCGCCATTGAAGTACATGCGGTACACGAAGGTGCCGTGCGCCTGCCCATACCGGAACAGGCGGGCGATCGCCTGAAGATTGTAGACCGGGTTCCACGGCTCCTCCAGCACCACGATGCGGCGGCAGGAGACCAGGTTGATGCCGTGGGTGCCCGCCTTGCTGAGCAGGAACACCTGCAGGGCAGGGAGGATGGAGGAGGCGAGCGGGCAGGCAGGCGTGGTGGGAGAGAGATGGATGAGCCAACCCTGAAAGGAGAGTGCCGTGCTCCGCAGACAGCCTCCCTGCCTGCAGCCTGAGGCCGCAAAGCACGGCATGGGACGTTGGGGCCTGCACCTGGTAGCGGCCGCCCTCGAAATCCTGCACATACTGCGTGCGCTGGTTGTCCGTGGTGGAACCCTCAATCTTGCACCACCGCAGCAGCCGGCCGCCTGCAGCAGTGCAGGCAAGGAAGCGGCCTCGCATCTCGGTTGCGGACCGTGGGCTGGCACCCCGCGCTGCTGACACGACACCACATGCCACACCCCGACAAAGAGCACCCCAACTGCCGCACCTGGGAGTCGCAGGGCGGCACGATCCAGCAGGCGCTCCACTTCCCTGAGAAACTCGAGGCTGCAGGGCAGGGATGCAAAGCAAGATCTGTGGCTGGTGGCAGCAGACAATCTCATACCAAGAACACTAAGGGTCTCCAGCCCCCACAGACACAGCTCGGACAGCACGGCAGCACGGCGGCTTCTGGGCTCTTGCATGTACCTCTCGCCCACAACCACGAGCTTCTCCTCGTGCGCCGCGCACCACCGCAGCAGCTGCTCCAGCGCCCACATCTTGGTGGTGCGCTGCGTGTCAAACTCGCCGGGTGGGGCGGCCTGGCGGGGCCCGGGGAGCAATACATCACCACGGTAAGGGTCGGCGGGAGTGGGTGTGACCCTGGTGAGCTGAGATGCGCAGCTCAATGATCGGGAGGAAGCTGTGCTGGAAGGTGGAAGCCTGCTTACCTTCACCAAAGCGAGCAGCTCCTCGGCAAGCGCCAGCGGGAACTTGGTAAGCCTGTGCGCCTTGGCCCCGCCTGCCGTGGCCCCGCCCGGCGCCGCGGCCGCTGCCATCTGCTCCGCCGCCAGCACAGCGGCGCCCAGGCCCGCCGCCCCGGGCTGCATGCCCGTGCCGCCGCTGGCTGCCTCCTGTGCGCCGTCAGTGGTGGTGGAAGGACAGGCCTCGGCATCACCGCCCAGGGTGCTGGTGCTGCGCGACATGTCATCATCCAGCTCCACCACAAAGTCCTCATCCACGCCAAACTCGTCTGCTGCCACAGCCGCAGCAGCGGGTGCGGGGCCCCTGGCTGCCGCCGCCAGCGCAGCAGCAGCGGCACGCCCCTCGGCCACGACTTTCTCCAGCCAGGCCTTGAACTCGGATGGGCGGTCACACAGCTGCAGGCACAGGCAGGCACGGCACGGGAAAAGTTAAACAAGTCGGTGCTTAGTCCCAGGGCGCCGCGAGACGAGGGTAGCAGCGCATGCCCTACGGCACGCCAGGCCCGCCTACCATTCGCAGCTTCTCCGCATCGGCCAGCACGCTGCGACACCTGGCCTCGTCGGTGCCCTGCAGCAGGCCAGGCAGACGCCCAGCAGACATGCAGCAACTCAGTCGACAATGCTGATGACACGGCATGCAGGCAACTGCGGCAGCTGTCAACGTGCGGGGTTTGGGCGGTACGCACCTCAATGAAGCGGCGGTACACCTTGTGCTGCGAGGGCGACAGAGCCAGCTTCAGCACCACCTCCCGCTTCTGCGGCAGCTCCTCCTTCAGAATTTCCTCCCCCCGCCGGTGCACCATCCTGCAGCGTGCACCGCAATGCAAGTCAGGCGGCAGTCGGTTAGAGGAAACGGGCAGCTGGAGGCCCAGAGGAAGCAGGAGCCGGTGGCTGCCACCACGTGTGCCTCAACTGCTTCCTTCTTCTGGCTGGCAACAGAGCCTGCAATACACAGACCCACACGCTGACCTAGAGATGATGTCGTGCAGTAGTGCCAAGCGCTGATTCATTATTCTTATCTCCGCCAAGGTCGCTCCTGGCAGCTGGCCTGCGAGGCAGGCCGGCAAGCGATGGGAAGGGCATGGGTGCAGGGGGGCGGGCAAGGAATGCGCTGACTGACAGGCGGCAGCTTGATTCATGCTGGGGCGCACCTGCCATGATGGGATCCGCAAACTTCATTAGCCACTCCTCCTTGGGGATGAGGTCAGGGTCGCACCAGGAGATCATCGCATACCTGCAAGCCGCGGTTCAAGCCAGGGCAAGAGAGGGCTGGGTCCAGGGCACGACAGGCGGCGAAAGATGGCGCCACGGGGCAGGGCTCTTGCGCTGTCTGCCGCTGCCCCGCAGCTCACATCTCGGCCAGGTTGTTTTGCAGCGGGTAGCCGGTCAGCGCCAGGCGCCGCTTGGTGGTGACCGACTCCAGAGCCTTGCGGATTTTGGACTGCAGGCAGCGGCAGAGGCAGCGGCAGAGGCGGAGGCAGCGGCAGAGGCAGGTCCTCAGTGAGCTGCCAGGGCAAGAGGCGTGACTGTGCACGATAACAGGGAACGGGGGGGTGCCTGCGACACGCAGCGTACGGTGCGATGCCTATCAGCTGCCGTCCGGCTCAGTTCCTACTCACCGTCTCGCTCTTCACAACGTGCGCCTCGTCGACGCACACCACCGAAGCGCCTTCCCGCAGCATCTCTGCCACGCTCAGCGGGCCCCGCGGCAGGCTGGCCTGGCCCTGCAGCTGCTGCGCTTGCCCTTCAGCGGGGCCCAGGGGCTGGGGCGCAGCTGCCTGGCGCTGGAGGGCGTCCAGGTTGCCGCTCGACTGCGCCTTGGGCTTGGGGCCGCGCCTCACCTCCAACACTGCACGCGTGCACAGGAGGCGGGGGTGCCAACCGAAGCACGACAGCATCCAAAGGCCCAGGTTTCGACCCAGGGCCCGAGGCAGGGGGGCCACAAAGCAGGGCCAGGGCAGGAATCCTGCTGCGGCAGCGCGAGCTGCGCCTCGCTCACCCCGGTCCCTGAACTTGTCGTGGGTGCAGATCAGCACGGCGCTGGGGGTGCGGTGCCACCTTTGCACCTGCTCCTCCTCATCCTCTTTCTCCGCGATCACAACCACCTGCGACAGGCAGGCGCTGGTGGCGCTGCTCAGCAGGCAGATGTACATCCCTGCAGCGCGTGCCCTCCACCAACACCTCTCCATCCCTTACGCCTGCTGGGAAGCTGGGCGGGCACGCAGGCGCGGGCCGCGCTTGCCTTGCGCACGCTCAGCCCAGGCGCTCCAGGAGGCAGGCGGGGCAGCCACTTCTCAAACTCGGCAACCCAGTTAAAGAGCACCACCTGCGCGTCAGTTGGGCCACCAGCGATCAGGAGGTCAAGGCCTCCACATGGCAGCTGGCAAACAAGGAGGAGGTGCCACCCATCTGGCTCGCGCTCCATGGCGTTTATGGCCTGTTCCAGCGCGAGCGGGCGAGCATAGCACGGCATGCAGCGGAGCAGGGCAGCCGCCGAGCATGGCAGGGCAGCCGAGCGGCCCCACCTTGGGCACGAGCACCAGGTAGCGAGCCTCGGGCTGCACCATGCTGAAGCTGGCCAGGAAGGTGACCGTCTGCAGCGTCTTGCCCAGGCCCATGTGGTGCGCCAGCAGGCAGCCGCCCGCCAGGTCCTGGCTGTCATCCAGGAAATCAGTGACCAGGGCGTCCCAGATGAACTGGATGCCCTCGCGCTGGTGCTGCTTCAGCACCTGCGCAGCGGATGGGGCGGCAGGGCGCGGCAGCGTCGGGCCAGCTGGGTGGCCAGCCGCACACGCAAGCTATGGCAGCAGAAACCAAGTCGCAGCCCGCAAGACACCCCAAATGATGGCATGTGCTTGTGACGCTTGCCTTGTCCATCTTGCTGTAGACCAGCGGCCCCTTGTCGGGCTCGTCCGGCCACAACGGCACCGGCTTGCGGTCGCCCTCGGCCGCCGCCACGTCGCCCACCGCGCTGAACACCGCCTCCTCAGCCAGGCGACGCGCCTGCAGCTGCAGCGCCTCCTGGCTGCCGGCCGCCGCCTGGCGGCGCTGCTCGCGCTCGTGCAGCCGCTGGAGCGTGCTGTCGCCGGGGGGTGTCGCCGCGGCTCGGGCAGGCTGGCGCCGCCGCGGCCGCTTGGCGGGCGAGAAGAGCAGTGCAGCCTGCGGGCAGCGGGGCGGGCATCCAATCAATTATGCAGGAGGAAAGCACCAGCACAGGCCGCGGGCCACAGCAGGCCAGCAGTCGGAGTGCGGCTGGAACGGCGGGAGTGCTTGCCTGATCTCTGCGGTCCCCCTTGGTGTGCCAGGTGTGCACGGTGCCCGACCGCGCCATGTGCAACCCAAAGTCCCGCTGGCCGCCTGCCGACTTGGCCAGCTCTGCGGCAAGTCAGCACCAGGTACTGCTCAGCAAGGCTGCCTGCCAACAGCCAGGTTGTTCGCATACATGTGTTGGCCTGCTGCACAAAAGTACTGCCCCAGCGCAGGGCGCATCCCCCAGCCACTCACGCGCTTGCACTGCCGTTTGACGATCCCCCAGCCGCAGCGCCTGCAGCGTGCGGGCCCAGCCCAGGGTGGGCTGCCGCGCCATCTTCTGCCGGCGGAACCAGCGTTGCAGCGCCGCTAGCGCCTGCCCACCCTCATCCGCCCCAGAAAGCCGATGCCGGACAGCAGTAGAGGTGAGAGTATCGTGGAAGACGCTGTGCTTGCTGCGAAGGCCCAGCAGCCACGCCACTTGCTCGCCTGCCGGCAGAGGCGCAGCAAGGATGTGAGTGCAGTGGGAGAAGCGAGGAGCGGAGGACTTAGGTGGGGCGGTGCAGGGGAGGCGCTGGCATTCCAAGGTGGCAGCAGGGACAGTTCCAGCAATCATTCCAGCATCTGGCAGGCTGTGCTCACCTGGCAGTCCCAGGGCGTGCCACATGAGCAACGACTTGCGCGGCTGAGGGCTGCCGGCAACCTTCCAGCTGCCTGTCTTCGCCTCCCAGGTGCATGTGCGGCGCAGCGGGGGGTCTGCCTGCACCAGCTGCTGCTCGGTGATGCTCAGCATCCACTCCTTCTGGCAACCTGCGGGGAGCGGACGGGCCAGAGAGCCATGCTAGCGGGATGCAGGCAGCCATGAGGAAAGGCGCTCCGCGACTCCCCTGCTGTAGCAAACGCCACCGGTGCAGCGGTGTGCCAGGTACCGATGTTGGCAGCAGGCCCCCACCTGGCCACGCCAGTGACAGGATGAGGCGCGTCGGCGCCGCTGCCTTGCTGGTGCTGGGAACGTCGCCAGCCGCTGCCAGCCGCTCCAGCACCGGCCCCAGGCCGCCGCTGCGCTGCCCCACCCTCCGCGCAACCGGTGCCTCCTCCCCTTCCTGCGCCTTGGCCAGCTTGCGCAGCACGATGGCTGGCACATAGGTCGCCCCCTCCCCGCTGCCGTCGCTGACGCTGAGCCTATTGAATTCATAGCACCCGCCGACCTGGATGCTGCTGAAAGCGAGGGCCGGCACGGCTGCACCGAATTCGGGCGGCGCGCGCTGCGCCGCGCTGATGGGGGCCGCCGGGCGCAGGTGCGCCAGTGAACACTTGAATGGCTCCACCTGCATTTGGAAGGGGGGGTCTCTGTGGGGAGCACATGTGCTCCTCCTTTTGGTGCCTGCTGCCCAGCTGCAAAGAACACTGCTCACCTGCCCGCCCTCGCCAACAATCTGCAGGGTGGCTTCGCTGTCGCCCTCCCTGCACAGCGGCGCAGCCGAAAACGAGAAGCAGCCGAGCATGAGATCTTGGCCAGGAGGCCAAATAGGCTGTGGTTGCCAGATTTGCTAGCTGCCTCGAATTATGCAGATTCGAGGATGCCCTGCTTCTGATAGCTCCCCATTTCCCTATTGCGTTGCCCACCTGATGGGGAGCCGGAGGTGGGCCCTGGCCCAGTGGAGGCCCTGCTTGTTGGAGCGCATCACCTCCACCGCCGCACCCTTCCCCAGCTCACTGAGGCGTCCAGGCTGCAGTTCAGTTGGCAGGATCGGGGCAGGCAGGGAGGGTCAGGTACACACACCCTGGCTAGTCCTGGACTAGCAAATCCGACCAGGCTTCAGCAGGGTCACCGCATGCCAACCTGCCCGTTCCCGAGGAAACACTGAAGTTTGTTGGACCAAAACTTTCTGTTGACCCATCCACTGAAGGCCGCTGTCTCTCACCAGGCCAATATCATCAGCCGCCGCCTCCTCCACGCCCTCCTCCTCTGCCTCGTTGCTATCAGCCATGGCCTCCACCGCCTCCGCCGCCGCCTCCTCCTCGCTGCCGCCGGCCAGCTCGTGGCTGAGGTCTGCCGTCTCCTCATCTTCCAAGGGGGACATCTCCTCACCCGTCCCTGCAGCTGCCTGCCCCTCTGCGCCACCCCCACCAGCTGCCTCTGGTGCGGTGGCCGCAGCTGCTGCTGGGTGCGAGTCGGCTGCTGCTGCTGTTGCGGCTGCGCCTGGTGCCAGGCATGCTGCAGGCGGCACCACATCCGACTCTGTGTCGCTGCCGCCACCGGCGCCGATGCCGCCGCTGATACCGCCTGCCAGCTGCATGGCATCTTCCACGGCCGACGGCGGCGGGCTGTCTGGCCGCTGCGCTGTGGGTGCCGGCTGCTCCGTAGTAGGCGACGAGGCATCATCTGCTGGGCCAGCACGCCCCGCGGTCCCACCGGGGGATAGCGCCACCTCTGTGGCCTGCAGGATCAGCTCGGTCGCTGCCGGCTGCTTGCCTTCCTGCGGCTGCTGCCGCTCCTGGCCACCGGCAGCTGGCTCCTGCTCCTGCTGCTGCTGCTGCGGGGGGGGCTGCATCCCTGGGGCCACCAGCACCTGTGTCTGCCCCGGCTGCAGGCCAGCCGCATTCCAGGTGCGCTGCCCCTCCTCCTGCTCCTGCTGCTCGGCAGCACAGGCGTCAGGCGGCAGGTCCTCAGAGGCGCTGCCATACTCTGCGCCATCCTCCTCCATGTCGCTTGGAGAGCCCTGCATGCCGCTGCCGCCCTCGTCGTCCCCCACCAGCCAGCCATCCTCCTCATACTCATCCTGCTCGCCCGGCTCGCCCCCCTTGCTGCTCGGCCCCTCGCTGCGGCTGCCTGCTGCAGCGGTCTGGCCGCCACCAGCGTGCTGCCCCTGCGGCTGCCCTCGCCGAGAGGGCCTGGCGGCAGCGCCAGCGTGCTCGCTGGGAGGTAGAGGCGGCTGCTCCGGCAGTGCTGCTATGCGCTGCAGCTCCAGCACCCGCAGCAGGTCTTCTAGGTTCCCCTCGCAGTTGGAGGTTGCCTGCTGCACCCTCCTCAAAGTCACGCTTCGCGACTGCAGGCCGGAAAGGTGGAGCAAAACATGCAGGAACAGGTTAGGAACTACTCAAGCTGACAAATCACAAGTGCAGGTGCAGCGGCTGCGGAGGTTGCAGCAACGCGCACCCCGAGGTGGGTTTTGAGCAGATCCACGAGCTGCTTGAGCAGACGTGTCTGCAGGAATCCGGGGAGCAGGACAGACAAACCAGAATGAGTGGACGCCACTGTGGGCCACCTGCCAAAGTCAGGTACAGCGTAGCATGATTGGTGCCGCTGCTGCTGGGTGTGCTTGCCTGGAACATGGCCGCATCGTCGCGCCACTCATCTGCCCCGCATGTGCCGCCACGGTTCAGCTTGCGACCCGCTTGCCAGATGGCGTGCGCATCCCGCTGCAGGGCGGGGAGCGCCTTGGCCCGCCAGCGTCTCTCCTGCAGCACAGCAACCAAACAGGCAGCTCGATCATCAGTGCAACAACAGGGCAATGATATGCAATCCCATTCACTTTGTGGCCATGTTCTGCTCATGCAGGGGCAAAGGGCACATGCAATCCTGCACACCTGATGCTCCAGGCCCTGCGCCAGCCCCTCCAGAGCAGCCACAGCGTCTGCGGCGCTGCGCTGCTGCTGCCGCGGCGCACACTCTGGGTCCAGCAGTGGCAGCGACCGGCGAATCTGGGCCTGCAGCATGCCCTCTGCCTCATCTGCACAAAACAGGAGAGCAGGACAGCCACGTCAGAGCAAGTCATTGGCAACAAGCAGCAGCAAGCGCCAGCTGAGTGTGCAGGTAAGACACGCCCAGCCAGGCCGCACACCTGCTGCCTCCCCGTCAAGGCCCAGCGCAGACACCAGCTGCTCGAGCAGCTCCTGCCTGCGTGCATTCAGCAGCTCCACCTCCTCCTGCAGAATGCAGTGCAGGCATGCTGAGTGGCATTGGCCAGGCAAGACACAAGGACGCAAGGGGTATGCGGATGGATGAACGTAAGTATCCTGGCAAAGCGGCCTGCTGGCAGCCTGCACACCTCGACCTGCTCGCGCGCTGCCTCCTGCTCCTCAGGCTGCTCAGCGCTGCCCACCTGCAGCAAGCCTCCACAGAGTCCCTCAGCAGAAGTGCTCTGCTGCCTGTGCAGGCAAGCCAAGAGAGGGCGAAGGCCGCTACCTGACCCCAGCCATGCGGCCGCCCAGACCAGCCACGCAGGCACCCACCCACCACCAGCCCACCTCGTTTGCGTCTTCCTCCTGCCGCCCCTCCTCTCCCGCGCTGCCCTCCACCGACACCTCCTGCTCCAGCTCTGCCGGGTCCCAGGGCGGCAGCACATCCAGCAGCTCCGGGTCCGCCGCCTCCTCCTCGGCAAACACCACGCCCTGCAGACACGCACACGGTAGGTAGCGGGCAGGCAGGGCACGAAGGCCGTGGGTGTGCAGGTGCAGGCCCGGGACCTTTCGTTCAGCAAAGCCTGCCCTCCGCGCTGCTGCAAGCTGCTGCTGGTACAACCCGTGGCGACAACAGCTCCGCTGCACCAGCATTGGTGCTGACCTGCTGCATGCCAAACCCTGCCATCACTGCCTCCTCATCGCTCTCCGAGTCTGCCAGCATCTCAGCTCGCAGCGCTGCAAAGCGCAGCATGTGGCTCCGCACATCGCGCACCCTGCCGCGCAGCCAGCGCCGGTCGCGGCGCAGGGCGGCAAACCTGTGGCACAGATAGACAGAACATGATAGCGACAGCGGGGCGCGCGTGGGTGCCCCTTGCCACCTGGGTCGCTGCGCAAGCGAATGCAAAGCTCCTCAACCCAAATGCATGACGCGACCTAAGGCATCCAGCAGCAGCTCACGTGCTGGGGTGGTCAGGCACTCGTGCACCCGGCCTGTCGGGTAGGCAGACGTCCCTGCTGTTGATCAGCATGTCCTGCGGCCAGTCTGCAGGCCGCCCAGCTGCCCCCTTCTCCCCTGCCCCATCGGCCTGCTGCTCCTGCTGCTGCTGCTGCTGTGCCGCCCGCGGCGGAGGCTCCATTCCTGCTCGCTGCCACAGGCTGACAGGCAGGCGGCGGCCGTAGTGCGCTGCAGGCAGCAGGCAGGGAGAACAAGGGCAGGGTAAGGACGGTGCTGAGCACTGCTCCAGTCTGGCTGCCAGCAAACCAAAGCAGGTGCAGGCCGCGCTGAGCAGCAGGGTGAGCAGCAGCGCATCCACCAGCACCCACCTGGCCGGCAGGCGGGCCGTGCTGCCACCACAAAGTCTTCGTGCTCAGCCAGCGGGTAGCCCTCCACACCAGGCTTCCACACAGAGTTGAACAAGGCCTCCTCCTCCTGTACCGGCGCTGCCGTTTCTGCCTGTTGCTGCTGCTCTCCGTCGCCACGGTGCTGCTGCTGCTGCTGCGCGGGTGGCGCCGCCCGGACAGGCTCCAGATGCAGGCGCCGTCCGCGGCGCGGCGAAGGCTGCGCAGCTTGGCCTGCGCCGCCTGCTGCTGCTGTCGGCGGCTCCTGGCGCGCGCCACGTTGCGATCCGCCAGTGCCCGCCTCGACGCCTGGCCCATCCGCAGCCTCCTCTGGAGCTGCTGGCTGGCTCTCGCTGCCGCCACCCTCACCAAGGTCCATGGCATCGCCCAGCAAGTCATCGGCCTGTGCGGCTGCTGGGGGCTGCTGGTCCTGTTGGTGTCCGGTGGGCAGGGCTGCGCCCACCGCCGGCGCCGCCTCGGCCTGCACAGCGGCCTGCTGGGGGGCTGCAGCGGGACGCCTGGGCGTTTCGCCGAGGCCGTGCACCTCCACGCTGGTGATGCGGGCGTCCAATCCAGCCACCGCGGTCTTAAGGTCGCTCAGGTCGGCGGCGATGGCAGGTAGGGCCGCCAGCTGCGCCTGGATGGCCTGCAGGGTTGCCAGAACCGCTGCATCGTTGCTCGCCATTGCGACCGAGCGCCCTGCGGGCGTCTAGCCTCTGTGTTGCATTTGCTGCCTGCAACCCTGCGTGCAGCTTGGGAGGTGCCGTGATAAGCTTAGCGGTTGGGCAAGCTGGGAATAATTGAGAGGACTGCAGGGCCTCTTGTCCAGTTGGCGTGCTAAGCCCAGCACGCTGGCACAGCACAAACACCTTTTGGCCATTGGCTTGCATCACCTGCGTGCTTACCACCGTGTGCCTGCAACGGGAACAGGGGCAAGGAGCTACCGAGGACGACGGGCAACTCTTCTTGCTCCTACCCAAGCCCCCAGGCCCACAAACGCATTTGCCCGATCCTGAAAAATTCAGAGGTTGCAGCCCATGCGCACAGCTGCGCTGCTGGGGCTGCTGCTGGCGGCGGCGGCGGCCTCGCTCGCGCCGCTGGCTGCCGCGGATGCGCCCCAGAAAAAAGGCAAGGTTGTGGGTGGGCCCAAGGATGCCGTGCGACCCGAGGACATCCCATACATCAAGTGCCAGGTAAGGGGGCGCTGGAAAAGGGCCGCGCCAGCCACCCACCGCCACCCGCGCTGCCGCCCACCACCTTCCTTCACGTCGCTCCTGCACGTACTGCTGCATGCTTGTGGCTCATGTTTGCAATGCAATGGCTGGGGCGCAGGTGTGCCAGCTGCTGTCCAAGAATGCGTGGCTTCAGGTCAAGGAGATGAAGAAAGCGTCCACACCTGCCAACCCCGTGAGCCTGGCAGCATGCATGCCTTGTGGGAGCTGCCGGGACGCTGGCCGCCACCCCTGTTGCAGGAACCTCACGCCTAGGCTCGCCCCCATGCAGGTGGACGAGAACAAGGTGATCGAGCGCATGGAGAAGATCACAACAGGCGAGTAGACTCGTCTCCTTCTCTGGAGTCAACACGCCTCTCTCCGCCGCAGCCGCAGCCTGACTCGGCAACCGCAGCTGCCTGCCTGCTGCAGCCTGGCGGCCCGAGGGCGAATGGATGGCCAAGCTGGACCTGGTGGAGGAGGGGGACAAGCTGGTTGTGAAGGAGATGGGGCAGGTGTGCTGCTGCTGGGCTGTAGCAACTAGTCCATGAGGCATGCACTGGGCCACCAGGCATCCACCCACTGGCTTCCTGCCCCTGCACTGCCGCAGGTTGGCAACTGCGGGTCTGAGTGCAAGACTGTGCAGCTGGCGGCAGAGCGCATCATGGGGGAGCACGACACCGACATCGCTGAGATCCTGTTCACAGTGTGCTCACTGCACTGCTTTGGGCCTGCTGAAGGGCTCCCGGCCGCGCTGGAATCCCAGCATCTTTGCGCCGCTTGACCCGCAGGGCAAGATGAATCGCGCGCAGTTCAACAGGTGGCTGTGCTGGGATGAGTCGGAAGCATGCAAAAAGGATGCGCCGCCGCTGCCAAATGTAGGGCTCCGTTGGAGATGCGGGTGGTGTGTGAGGGTGTGATTAGGGCCTGCACTGCACCGCAAAGCACGACCCTGGGCAAGTGCCCTTCTGACTCCTAGCGGTCCTGCCGACACTGCTGCAAGTGCAGGGCCGCAAGCCTGGCCCGCCGTTTGACCCGCGGCAGGAGGGCGACCAAAGCATCGATGCCATGCTGGGCGGGCTGGAGGTGCGTGCTTTGTGGAAGGTGCAGCCCGTGACCGCCAGTGTGTGATGTGCCCGTCGTGCGCATCTCCTGGCGCCCCCGGCCTGGTGCAGGACAAGGGGCTGGCCAACAACAAGAAGCTGCGGGAAGAGCTCATGGAGAAGCTGGGGGTGAAGGAGGCAGACCGGGTGGATGGTGAGTCGCCTGGGGAAGCTGAGTTATTTGTCTTTCATGATACACATGGGGATCCATTGAGGCACGCTTGGTTGCAGCGCCCAGGGAGCTAGCATCTCTGTGGTGGCTTCATGGCTTGCCTGCCCTGCTCCCGGCTGCCTGCAGACGATGATATGTCAGTAGACGCAGCGCTCAAGCGGGCGATGGCTCAGGCGGAAGCGGGCTACGTCCCCCCTGGTGGCCAGGTGTGTGCTTGTTCGGGGGCTGACGGCAGGGGTGCTGATGCCAATGCTCACCTATGTGGGTGACCTGCTTCCTCCTGTGCAGGACGCCTGGGACGAATTGTGAGCTGCTGGACGTCATGCTATTGATGAAATGAACCCATGTTTTGCACCCTGTTTCATTCTGTCTCTGAGCTCATTTTCCACCTGACGAGCCCTACCTGCAACCGCCGCACAACCGCCAACACACCGCTGGCAGATTTCCTCCCATGACGTTGTAAATCTACAGAGCTGAATTGCAGGGCAGGTAATATGCCTGCCACACAGGCTTCGCCACACAGGCTTCGCGCGCCACCGCGGTCGCTGTACGGCTGTACATGTTGCCACGCAGGCCGGGCCCGTGCGGCCGGTGTGCAGGCGCCCGCGCATTGCAGCAGATCGTGCATTATTGGCTGGCATCTGAGGTGAGGCGGCAGGCGCAGTGCTTGCGCTCCCAGGATTGCTGAGCTCTCTAGGCGCTCAGGCGTGATCGCGGCATCTCACGCTTGCCACGCCCGTGAGCTTGCAGGTGCTGCAGTGGGAGCAATGGGCGCCGCTCGGCAAGCGCTGTTGGCGATGGCGGCGGCAGCCTTCGTCGCTGCCGCCGCCGCTCAGATGGGCGGCATGGGGGGCATGGGTGGCATGGGTGGCAGTGGGCCGCCCAAGGAGAAGCCACGGCTAGCTGACATCCCGTACATCCAGTGCCAGGCAAGAGTCACAGGGCCGCGCAGAGTTTGCAGCAGCTGGCACTGCCGTGCACCAACCCGCAGTCTTCCATGCACAGACCACCAGCTGCTGCGGCCTAGCGCTTCTGGAAGCTCCTAGGTTCCTTGCTCGTCTGCCCGGTCTGAATGTTTACGCGTCCGCTGTGCAGGTGTGCGAGCTGCTGACCAAGAACGCGTGGCGGCAGGTCAAGGAGATGATGAAGGCAGCCAGCCCAACAAACAAGGCGCGCAGCGGGCAGCGGCTTGTTTGTTCCATGCGGCCTCATGTCCTGTTTGCGGTGCGCATGCGCGGTCCATGCGCTGAATCGGCAGTGCAATGTGCGTGTTATGTGGTTGCAGGTGGATGAGATGAAGATCATCGAGCGAATGGAGAAGATCACCACAGGTCAGTGACTCAACTGAAACTGAAACTGAACTTGCTGAGACGCTGCCTCTCCTGGCCCCAGCTGCCTGTTGATCGGGCCCAAGACCAGGCCCAATGCATGTGCAGCTGGCTGTCTGAATCTCACGAGCGTGGCTTGGTATCATTCTGGTTGTTCGGTGCAGCCTGGCGGGCCGAGGGCGAGTGGATCGCCAGCCTGGACCTGGTGGAGAAGGGGGACAAGCTGGTTGTGAAGGAGATGGACCAGGCGAGGCGCAGCATGCGAGCACATCGGGAGCAGCACATCTCTCTCCCACCTGCAGTTGCGCTGCAGAGCCCTTTGCATTGAACTCCACACCTGCTGGGCAGGCCAGTCAGCCGCTGGTGGCATGTGAAGTCGCTGTTCGTTCTTTGAATGCCGTTGCCGCGCGCTACCGCAGGTGGGCAAGTGCGGGGTGGAGTGCAAGACGATTGAGGCGGCAGCGGAGCGCATCATGGGGGAGCACGACACCGACATTGCTGAGATGCTGTTCACGGTGGGCTTGGTGCTGGGGCTGGTGGGCTGCTAGCTGCACCTGCGCTTGATGCAGTGCTTGCACCTGGGCTTGAGCTCCAGGGTTCAGCCACGCCAGGACGTGCACACTCGCCGGGCCCCCGTCATGCAGCAGCCACTCACCCACCTGCTGGTGCCGGTGCCTATCCCACAGGGCAAGAAGACGCGGGCCCAGTTCAACAACTGGCTGTGCTACGAGGAGACGCAAGTGTGCAAGTACAAGCCGCCGCCGCTGCCCAAGGTGCGGCAGAGCAGCTCTGTGATGGCTCAGCCCCCGCCTGGATGCGCTTTCTGTGGCCTATGAGAGAGGATCGGTTCAGCTCAGCCTCGTACGTGCGGCCCTGACCGTGTGTGTCCCTGCAGGAGCGGCCGCCGGGGCCGCCTTTTGAGCCCATGGCGCAGGGTGACCAGAACCTGGAGCGCATGATGGGAGAGATGGAGGTGAGGCGCTGCGCTGAGGCTGCTGCGGCTTGGCATTCAGGCCGGGGTTCCACCGTGCCAAGCTGGGCCAGCTGCCAACGGTCTGGGCCTGCTACGATGCCCAGGGCCGGCTTCCCTGCTGCCTGCGCTGTGCAGGACAAGGGCCTTAAGGGCAGCCTGTACAGCCGGGACGACCTCCTTTCCAAGTATGGGATGCCGGAGGGGCACGAGGATGATGACGAGGATGCTGATGACCCGGCCGACTTTGAAGGGGAGCCCATCGACTGGCACCACATCGAGGGCGGCAAGGAGCCATACACGACGCGCACGGTGCGCCGCGGCTGCCGTGGCTGGTCGATCGTTGCGGCGCATGCGCCCGGTCCCGTCTGCCGCAGCCATGTGAGCCGGCGCCGGTCCTTCCTGCTGCTGTCAAAGGCGCTGACGCTGTGCGCTGCTTGGCGGCCGGCCTTGCAGAATGTCCAGCGCGTGGCAGGGGCGGCCAAGGAGGCGGCTGCGGCCGCACGCGACGGCGTCAGGTCGGCGGCGAAGAAGGCGCGGAGCATGTGGAAGAAGTTCCAGTCGGGGCAGAAGGCCAAGGACAAGCAGGAGCTCTGATGTGCTGGTTTCTGGCAATCTCTTGTTTAAAAAATAAAGCACTGATACCTGCTCGGCCAAAGCGCCGGCATGGCGTAGTGCTCGACGGGCAGGTACGGCGCCAGCTCTGTCTCCTCCTGGGGCAAACAGTTTTGCCCCATCTGAGCTTTGCATTATTAATGGCATCTGAATACACCAATCACAGCGGAGGGAGTCCTGGAGCCGACGAGGCTTGGAAGAAGGAGGGCTCAGTGTTTGGGGTGCGTTCGAGTCTGCGATCAGGGAGTGTTTGCAGGCTCTTCACCTTGTAAATGTATGTCGAGTGAGGAGCGAGAAGCATCGAGACATCTGTTGCCGCCTGGGCGCCGCCGCCGCCGCCGCAGCAGCCAACCGCACCGAGCTCAGCTCCGGCGTGACCTCACTTCTCCTCAGGTCGTCACCAGGTCGTACCGCCCCTTCGATGACCCGAATCCACACGACCCCACCAGCGTGGTGCTGGGCCGGGAAGAGCTGCAGCAAGCCGACAATGCACTGCTGGCGGCGGATGCACTGCTGGGCGCCGGTTTGCCGGTGCGCCGCTGTCCTGCGCTATTGAATTTCGTGATCCCCACAGGCTGACAGTGCACAAGTCCGTCGCCTACCGCAGAAACAAAAAGAACAGAAGGTGAACTACGTCCGGCGCAACTGGTTTCAAGCCAGCAGGGCAGACGCCATGTATGCGGTTGCCTGCATCACCAGGCAAGTTTGGCTGCCTGGCCCACCGCCTCCAGCGGGCAGCTGGTTGGCTGCATCACACAGTGAGGCTCACAGCTAATGGTGCTGCAATTTTTCCTCCAATGCAGGCACGAGGAAACCGGGCTGCCCTGCGACTGCATGGCGGGGGGCACAGCCTGGGCGGTCCTCATGGCGGCACGGCTGGGCAAGCCTGTATACGTGTTTGATGACGAAGAAGGACGTCCAGGATGCAGCCGGCGGTGGTACCGATTCGATCACGGCACCGGCCGGATGGTGCTGCTGGCGGCGCCGCCCACCCTGCCGCGGCAGTTTGCGGGCATCGGCACACGGTCCTTGGGTTCAGCAGGGACCGAGGCCATACGGAAGCTGTATGAAAGGACCTTTGGGGAATGCTGTTGTAAGCTGTGCGACTGAGAATTGGGGCATGCGACGGATGCATGCGCAGCCGCCGCAAAGAAGGTGCGCTGCCACCCACAGCGCGCAGGGCGGCGAATGCATGGGGCGCCATTATTGCACCCCAGCGGGGCCATGCTTGTTTTCGGATCAAACACCATCCTCCTCTCGACCCCCACCAGGCGCGCCGCCGTCTGCAGTTCTCGCTGGCGGGGTGGAGTGTGGCTGAGCACTGTACCAGCACCTCGTTGCTCGAGCGCAGCAGCGAGCCCTGCTCACTGTGACACCTGCAGCACCCCAGGGTGCAATCCAGCGCCAGCCGAGGGCTCGGCTGCGTCTTATCCGCGGGGTTTGCAAGCACCGGCAGCAATGGCGCGGCCCTCGTCGGGCGCCCTGGTTCTGGTGCTCCTCTGCTTGGTGGCCGCAGTGAAGGGCGAGGGTGAGCACCGGCGGCGGTTTCATCGCTATCGCCCGCCCCGCCGCCGCCGCTGTCCCGCGCGCACCTCCACAAGCAGTTTTGATGTGCTGCTGGGATGTGCACAGCTGCCGGGTTTCTGCTCCATTGTGGCCGCTGACCGCGACCTAGAGGCTCCGCCATGGCGCCCTCCACCCACCCTGCCTCCTAGAGGCTCCGCCTCTCCCCGCGCTTCGCAGTCATGCCAAGCGGCAACATGACAGACCCCTGCTACACAGACCCAGCAGCCGACGCCTGCGCCGGCTTTGAGCGCAGCGCCGCAGGTGCTGGGAGGCTGCTGCCGCTGGTGGTGCTGCGTCTCCGCCTGGCGCCGCCTTGACTTCTTGCCTGTACCCTGTACCTGCGCCTGCCTGGTACGGAGCTTGCGTACCAGGCGCGCCCAATGTGTCGGCTGGCAACTCCACTGCTGCGCCTCCCCACATCCCGCCCCTGCAGACTGGACTAGCGACCTGGATACTCTGTGCCAGGAGATGCCCTTTATGATCGGGTGCTCCATGTGGACGCAGTGCCAGGTGCGGCATCCAGCCAGGCGGTGGTGGCGGGCAGCGGCAGCAGCAGCGACAGCAGCGGCAGCGCTGACTCAAGAGGACTGCCCCAGCGCGTGCCTCTGGTGGCTGGCAGAGGGCAGCCATGCGGGGCTGGGCTGTTCGTCCTGTGTGCTGGCAGGCGGCCCCCAACGCATCTGCGCTTGCCTGCTGCGCTGCCTGACCACAGGCTGGCCAGGCCAACGTCGACTCGCCCTTCTGCTCCCCGGCCTCGCTCGTGGGTGACATCTGTGTGGCGGACGCGATGAGCAAGGTGCGCCCGCCCTCCTGCCGATGCCATGCCATGCTGGCTGGGCCGCCTGCCGCTGCCCGGCTGCAGCAGCGCCCTCGCCGGGCTCACCCGGCTGCTGCCCCGCTCGCTCGTTTGAATCCAGCTCACTCACCACAGCCAAACTGCCCCAACCCACTGCAGATGTATGGTTGCGAGGCTCACAACGCGCTGTGCACAAACACCACCAAAGTGCAGCAGTGCCTGCAGCCCGGCGTGGCGCCCAACGTGCCGACCACTTTCCAGACAAAAGCAGACATTGACGTGAGCTGACGGCGGCTGCTGCTGCAACCAGTCAGCCCGCTGAGCCAGTCGTTGCAGCGGGTGCCGCCGGCGGGGGCCCTCCCGTGGGCCCTCCGCCGGCCTCGTTGCCGGGCCCAGGCTGCCCGAGAGCAAGGCAGCACCCCACTCACCCACACGTGCACGCTCCGCACACCCGCTTCCTTCTGCTGCAGGGCGTGTGCACCAGCCACTCCATGGACGGCTGCCAGAACTGCACCTCGGTCGGGCGCACCAACTTCAAGGCCTGCCCCGAGCTGTTCAATATCTACTCCAAGCTCTGCATCTGTGAGCCCCGCCTTTAATTTCCTGTTACGAGCTTACGAGCTTGTGCCTGTCGTGCTCCACTCGCCTGCCTCGCTGATGCCAGGCAGCAAGGGCGCACGGGCACCACCGGCTCCCTGCCTGCCCACCGTGCTCGCACGCCGCATGACGCCTGCGCTCTTGCTTGCCCGGCCTGCCTGCCTGCCTGCCCTGCAGCCATGCCCGACATGTCGCAGTGCCAGAACTGGCAGGTGTTCTGCAGCAACCAGACCCTGGCAGCCGCCTTCCCCATGTTTTGTTCCGGCGACGCGGCAGACGGTGCGTGGTGCACGCTCCGCCCTCCCGCCCTCCCTGCCAGCCTGGCCCTCGCCAGCAGCCAACCCTGTCCCGGAGTGTGCCTGCACGTGGCGTGGCATTCTACATGGCATGTGTTTTTGTGGCTGTGCGCTCGCAGGCAGCAGCAGCGCGCTCCCTCCTATGAAGATGTGGATGCACCAGAGCACGCGAGACATCTTCTTGTTCAAGGAATGGGTGCCCAACAGCAGTGAGTGGCGCGGCGGTCCCGCCGCCTGGGTGGATGTACCTGGATGCACAGAGGTGGAGGTCAATGCCCTGCTGATGCCTGGCCTTCACCTGTGCCCCTCCGCCTCCCTCTCCCTTGTGGCTCGCAGCCGGGCAGTACATCGGGCTGTGCATCAGCATGTGCGTGCTGGCAGTCTTCACGCAGGTGGGCAGCAGTTCTCCTGGCCTGATCTTGCACGGCCGGGCTGGGCACACCCCTGCCTTTCCGCCTCTCCCCATCACAGCTCCTACCTCTGGCATCGGCCCCAACCACATCCTGTTCTTGTGCACTCCCCTCCGTGTCCCCACACCTGCAGTTCCTCAAGGCCGTGCGGCTGCGGGTGGAGATGCGATGGTCGGCAGAGGCGCGCGGGCCGTCGCTGTGCTGCGGCCTGGAGAACGGCTCGCCCTCTGCGGCCTCCTCCGACAGCGCCGCCTCCGGCTCCGCCGGCGGCATCAAGCCCTCTGGCAGCAAAGACTCGGAGCTGGCAGAGGTGCCCACGTGCTGCGGCGGCGGCGGGGCCGCCGTGGCCCCCGACGACGGCACGCTGGTGCCCACCAGCCGCCGCGCGCCGTGGCGGCGCGGCTCCGGCCAGCAGGGCGCCCTCGCCTGCTGCGGCGTGCAGCTCATCACCCGGGCCCAGGCCCGCCGCAACTTTTGGCGCGCGGTCTTCACCTTTGTGGTCATGCTGCTTGACTACTGTGAGTGAGGGGAGGGTGGGCCTCCAGCCCGGGATGGGGTGGGCCTTTGACAGGAAACAAAGCAGGGGCAGTGCCGCCGTTGCCGTTGCCTGCCTCTGCCCTGCCTGGCCTGCGGACCTTGCCGACCCGGGCGTGCCTGCCTCTGCCCTGCCTGGCCTGCGGACCTTGCCGACCCGGGCGTGCTCCTGGGGGCCCAGGAGGTTGCATGCAGCCAGTGCGGCCGCTTATTGAGCCCCGCCTCCCTCTTGCCCCACTTGCCCTGTGTGCAGCGCTGATGCTGGTGGTCATGACTTTCAACGTGGGCGTCATCCTGGCAGTTTGTGGCGGCTTTGCGATTGGCGCGCTGCTGTTTGGGCACGCAGGGGAGCGGCCCAGCGGGCCCATCGTGCGCCAGGTGGCACCTGTGGGCGCCTCCAGCGAGCTGGAGACTGTGTTTGTGGAAGGGGCGGCCTGCTGCTCCGGCGGCTCGGGCTGCGGCGGCGGCGGCCATAGCGGCGGCCAGCTGTGAGCGCCCGTGCCACAAAGCTCGGTGCCGTTGACTTTTGCTGGGTTGTTTCTTGCTCCTTACTCCTGCTTGCCTGCATTTTCCCCTTGTTCACGTTTTTGTCACATGCTTATGCCCCTCTCTTGAGCTCCCCGTTGTTCCTCCACCCATTCACCTCCTTGTGTATTCCCTTTCTCCCGCTTGCACGCATACCAGCCTTTGCACCTGCACTTTAGGACTGGCCATTGGTGCAACTTGTGAGCATACAACATATAGATCGGCAAAGTAGAAGGCATTTCAGGTCAGCTGGCTGCGGGACAGGATTTCGTGAAGGATTGGGCAAGGGGCACCGCAGTGTTGCCGAAAACACAGTGTCAATATCAGCGGTGTCAACAGTGGTGGGTGGTATTCGGTGATTGTTCTGATGGGGTGAGGTGCCTGGCAACTTTGGGGTTGTGCCCGCGCCCGCTGCGGCGGAACCGCGGCGCAGCTCACGCCGTGGCGCCGGCCGCCGCCTCCCACTCCTCCAGCGCGGCAGCCACGGCGGCGATGTGCTGGCGCTTGGCCACGTCGTCCAGGAAGCTGGCCCGGAAGCCGGCGGCCGCCAGCTGGGCCAGCTGCGACGCGCTGAGCCCGGCCACATTCGCAAGATAGGTGTAGTTGGCGTTCACGTAGCCGCCGCCGCTGTCGGCGTGGAAGAAGTAGGCGGGGTCATCGGAGTTGACCGTCACCGCCACCTTGGTGTCCTGCAGCAGCTGGCGCAGCTTCTCCCCCAGGCTGCCGGGGTAGACCTGCAGGCGGCAGGGAGGCGCGGGGGGCATGGCCAGGTAGTGGTGGGTGATGCGTGCCTGGCCAAGTGGCCTCCTTGTCCCTCCCTCAGGCGCGCGGTGTGTGATACATGTGGGCCACCGTGTGGCCATCCTGCGTCCCAGCAGTGCCCCCAGCGCTCGGCACGGCACCCGCCAAATGCTCGCCGGCGCCCCCCTGACCAGCCGACCGTCCCCCGCCACCCACCTGGAGGCACAGGTTGCTGAGCGGGCAGACGGTCAGCGCCACCTGCGTCTCCTCCAGGTGCGCCACCAGCTGCGGGTCGTCTAGGCAGCGCACGCCTGCGGCAGGGGAGGGCAGGGGCTGTCTTGCTTCAGCACAGGGCTGGGGGCCATTGCGTTGTGTGCGCGGTGGTGGTGGCGGTCGGGGTGGGGTGCGGGCGGAGCGGGGAGGGAGGTCACGTGGCAGCTCCCAGGGCGCGGCAGCAGCAGCCCCGCACTGCAGCAGCTGGCTCGCACCGTGGTCCACTCTGTCAACCTGCAGGTCTTTCATGGCCGACCAAATGTTCTCGGGCCCGCCCTCCTCACCTGCAGGCAGCGAAGAGCAGGCCCAGGCAGGCACCGGCGTGGCTGAGCATCGTCGAGCGGGGCACCGGCCGGCGGGCGCCCGACAAGGGCGCCACCTCGCTGCCCCGGCTGGCACTTGCTCGCTGGGCCGATGAGCAACACAACTCGCAGCCGCAGCCGCAGCCTGCTGGCGGGAGCACACCTGCGTGTGCCATGCGCTTCAGCCCGAGCTCTCCGGCCTTCTTAAACACCTCGGTAAACAGGGAGGGAGGGTAGCCGTGCTCAGCAGAGTCCAGCCCCACACCCGAGATGTGCTGGAGGTAGGGCACTGCCTGCGGCACGCCACACGCACGGCAGCGGCAGGGGTCGGGCTGGGTGGGAGGTGTTGATGCCGGTGCCGGGCATGCTGGGCGAAAAGGCGCGGCTGACCAGCTAAGGTGGCCAAGCCAGCAGCTGCCCCGCCGCTGTCGCCGCATGCGGCTACTGCCAAGTGGCCGGTGCCGCCGCCTGCCCAACCCCACCCGCCACCAGCATCCCCACACGCACGCACGCAGGCACGCAGGCATGCGCACATCCACCGGCACCTGCTGCAGCACGTCGGCAGCTGACTCTGCCCCTAAGTCTCGCATGAAGCACATGATGAGGGAGGCAGTCAGGCCGTGCCGCGCAGGCGCCTCCTCCACCGCCCGCTGCAGCCCCGGAAAGAAAGTGGAGAAGGGGACGCCCCTGCGGGTGAGAGGGCCAGTGGTAGGGGCCGGTGTGACGGGGACGCACGTCGGGCAGCGCTGCTGGGGAGCAGCAGCTGGCGCTGCCGCCGTTGGCGAGCGCCATGCATGCAGGGCAGCGGCCCTCTGTGCGCCATCCCTGCTGTACCCGTGTTGCGGGGGCCGGTGATGGGAGGCGCTGCCATCACGACCTGTGCGCACAGCGATAAGCTGCCGGGGACCATGCGCGCCCCCATGCTCACCTGTTGAGGTGGGCCTGCGGGTCAAACATGATCTCTGTGTGGCGCACGCCCTCGGACGCCGCCCGCGCCAGGTATGCATCCGTGAGGTCGAAAAAGTCTTGCTCCGTCTGCAGCGGCGCACCAGGAAACGTGCCCACACGCTCAGCTGAAAAAGCACGGTCACACTGCAGCACCGCCCGGCAGGCGCTCGGCTGCTCCCGAAACACGCGCGAGCAGCAGAGGGGGTTGTGGTGGCGCACCAGCAGCACCGACATGCCCTCGTAGTACAGGTTGAGGAAGTCTTGGAGGGAGGTGAAGGAGGCGCGCGCGTCACGGGCCGCCTGCACGTCGGCGTATGGCACCGTCACGTGGTTGCGCGCCGCCAGCGCCATCATCAGCTCCGGCTCCAGGCTGCCCTCCACGTGCAGGTGCAGCTCGGCCTTGGGCAGGCGGGCTATGAAGGCGGTCAGGTCGCGGGCCTGCGCCGCAGCCGAGACGGCGACCAGGGCAGGGCGGGGGCAGCGGAGGCGGCGGTGGCGACGGGCGGCGGCGGTGGCGGGCCATGGCGCTCGCCGCGTGGAGCGTAGCAGCGCGGCCTGCTGATGCACAGCAGGCGAGCGACAGGAGGCGAGTGACCAGTGGGGGCGGGGGCAGGACAAAACGCTGGGAATGGGGTAGGGCTTCAGGCGCTCCCGCACTTGGTTTCCCTACCTGCTGGGCAGACATTTCTACGTGGCTTGGTAGGCTGGGGGAGTCACAATTGAGGTGCAAGGAAGCCGTCGACAGCCCCGACTGCGAGTTTCGATGTGCAGTGCAGCGGATGGTGTGCCAGAGGCGAGCGGGGGCAATCCACCAGTCGAATCACGGGTCGCATATGCGAAAGGGAGCGCTGCAAGCTGCCCAAACCGCCCACCAGTGGAGGGCGCATCACGCCCAGCAGCAGCAGCATCGAAAAGGTTAACCTTCAGCGCATCGGGTATTGCCTACGTGATCAGGGCCTTGCAGTTGCCTCCCTGAAGGGCAGAGCCGCCTGCCACAGCACAGCCGGTGCTCGCCTCCTCAAAGAACGCGCTCACTGGGTTGCAGCATTGTATACAACTACCAGCACGCCCGATGCTGGCCTTAGCCAGGCACCGCAGCGCGCTGCGACAAGCACTGCCCGCAGCGGCCCAGGCTCTGGCTGCACAGCTGCAGCAGGAGCGTGGAATGAAGTTGTTCGAGGTGGGACTGTGATGGGATGGGGACGAGGGCTTTGGGTCGCCCAGGCGGGCTGAGGCGGCGGTGCCTAGTGCCGCCACAAGTGGCAAGTTCGTGACCTGGCTGCAGCTGGCTGCTTGCCACTGCAGATCTTCAGCAAGGAGCAGCGGGCGAAGCGCAAGGCGCAGCTCAAGGTGGGCGCAGCCGCTGCACAATGCTGCTCGCAGCATCCGGTGGCGGGGTCCGTGCTTGCCCTTGTTTGCGATCAGGTTCACATTGAACTTCTGTCGAAGCCGCTGCCTGCTCGTGGTTTCAGGAGGAGATGCAGCGGGGCTATTTCGACGACTTCCGGGACTTCAGAGACAGCAAGGGCAAGGTGTTCCGGGCGCCCGAGCGGCTGGTGCCCGCCTCCCATGTGCGTGGGCGCTGCTGTTGCTTTTTGCGCTGTTGCTTTGCCCGCTGGCTGCGGCATCTGCGCCTGCCAGCCTGCAGCAGGCTGCCGCTGGAAACACTGTGGGAGCCTGGACGTTTGTATCAGCAGCAGCTGTTGACTGCTACCAGATGATTGAATGTCTGGCCACCGCCGATGTGGCCTGCAGGCTCCGGCTTTCCCACGCATGCAAGTGGTGCAGTCGGATGGCAGCCCCGCCACATTCCCGCCCCCCGATGCCAGCAGCAGCAGCAACAGCGACAGTCAGGAAGCAGCAGGCGCAGCAGCGGCAGCAGCAGAAGCTCCCAGCAGCAGCAGCAGCAGCGGCGACGGTGGGGAAGCAGGTGGCGGCCTGCAACCGTGCGCAGCCAGTCTGGTGTGCCTGGCATTCCGGGCGGGGGCGCAGCCAATGCTGGAAGCGTGGGCATCACCCTTCAGCGAGCACTTCCAGGGGCGCAGCGGCGTGGCTCTGTACGAGCTGGCAATAGTGGAGGGCATGGTGAGGCGGCCTCCACGCGCTGGCGTGCTCCGCTGGGACTGTGCCGGGGCCGTGTCGTTGCTGCTGCCGCTCCCGTGTCCGCGGCGGCCTGCTGCACCTCGCCCGCTCTGCATGCATGTCTGCGCCCTCAGCTGGCTGCCGTGTGCGTGCCATGGCCATGCAGGTCCTGCGCATGTGGCCCTTCAAGCAGCTGCTGCTGCGCAGCGGGGCCGGCGCCGCCGCCAAGTATGCCCTGCCCTGCCGCCACCTGCACCACTTTGGCGACATGCAGGCGCTGCGCCAGGCGCTGCAGCTGACCAACCTACTGACCGGGTGCGCGCGTGGCGGCAGGGCTGGCAGGCAGCCTTGGGGGCGTGGCCCTGGCAGCCTGCCCGCATGCCAGGGCATCTGCCCGGAGCCCCGCATCTGCACCTGCTTGTATCCCGCCAGCGCTGACTGCCCATGACGTGTCACGCCCTGCTCAGCAGGTACGTGTTTTTGGTGGACTCCCGCGGGCGGCTGAGGTGGCGGGGCAGCGGCAACCCCTCGGCCCAGGAGCTGCAGACGCTGCTGCGCTGCACCGAGGAGCTGCTGGCGCAGGAGCAGCGGCAGCAGCGCTGAAGCCCTGCAGCCGAGCACTTGCCGCTAAATGCAATGTTGCCGCTGAGATTCATGTAATCCAGCTGGCAGTCCACTGTTCGCGCCGCCGCTTTACAAGGGTTTGCCCATGCATGGGGCCGACAACCGCTGCAGCCAACCGGCGGCAAGCGGGCAGGCACTGCAGCGCTACACCTTCTGCCGCTTTGCTGCATTGCCAAACGCGCTCAGCTGCACCTGGCACTTCTGGAGGTGGTTGGCGCAGACGAGGTGGTGGATGAACTGCTCCAGAATGAACACGCGGCTGCAGGCCAGGCAGCAGAACTGCACGCAGAGGCAGGGCAGCGGGCGCCAGAGCAGGGGTGCGATCAGCATGCCCAACCTGCACCTCGATCAGCTGCATGCCGGGACAGGCGCTTTCACACAGCACTGAAGAGTGCCCTCCCGCGGGCGCATGCCGACAGCCTGCTGCACGCAGCACACCTGCTGGCTGCGCTGCTCGGGGGTCAGCTTGACCTTGGGGCTGCCGCCAGCCACACGGCTGATCTGAGCCTCCCGGTTCCGCGCAATCACGTTGCCTGCAAGGCAGCCACGGCAGCACGGGGGAATGCTTCGCCCCTGATGTGCCGCCGTCCAGCGGCGTTCAAACAGGCTCGCGGCCGCATGCAGGGCTGCCAAGCATGCGCAAAGTCAGCCACCGTTTGCTGCAGCTCCGCCTGGCGCCCATGCCCGCCCCTGATGGCACACCTGTGTATGCGCTGTACACTGAGCGGCATGTGTCTGCATGCTGCTGCTGGGACTGGTGCTCCAGGTAAGCCTCCTGCGAGGGAAACACTGCAGGGAGGCAGGCAGGAGACGGGGCGCGCGGGCAGGGAACCCAGGGCAGGCGGCAGGCAACAGAGGGTCAGCAGGTTTGGTGGGGCAGGCGGCAGGGCAGGTTTCAGTGACACTGCACATGCGCGCTGCTGCAGCTGTCGGTGGGAAAGATGGCTGCAACAAAAGCGTGCCTGCAGAGCACGCGCGTGCCCGCCACCCCGGCACGCACCTGCTCTGCAAGGCGGGCAGCAGTACGGCAGCTGCCCGGCAGCTGCCTGCGCCACGATGTCTACGGGGTCGGCGCCTGTGCAGGCAGTACAAGCCACCACAGCGTGAGCACAGCGGCATGCACACGACTTGGCTGCACTCAAACGCCAGCGCACGTGGTCACACGGCCCACCTTCGGCCACCGCAAACGGCAGCGTCTTGGGCGGGCGGCCGGGGGCCGTGTCGGCGTGCGCCGTCGCCAGCTGCTGCCACTGGTGCAGCTTGCGGCGGCCAGCCTCGCCTGGCGACGCCGCCTGGCGCTGCTGGGCACGAATGGAGGCAGCCACTGCCAGCCAGGGAGGCAGCTCCTCTGCTGCCGCCTCGGCCTGCGCTGCGTCATGCTGCTCCTGGCTGCGCTGCTGAGGAGGTGCGCCAGCAGGCACAGCAGGCGCTCGAGGCGCGGCCGCCGGCTGATCGCTGGCCTCTGCCACCGCAGCTGCGGCCCGCTGCTGTTCCCTCTGCTGCTGCGGCGGCTGCTTCTGCTGCGGCTTCTCCTGTTGCTGCTGCGGCTTCTGTTGCTGCTGCTGCTTTTCCTGCGACGCTGGCGCTGTGGTGATGGCCCTGCCTGCTTTCGGCTGGGCGCCTGCCGGTGCCGCTGCACTGGTCAGGCCGGCACTCAGAGCTCGCGCTGCGGCAACGGCAGCCGCCACTTGAGCACCAGCGGACCCGGCGAGCGGCGGCTGGGCCTGCTGAGCCTCCCCCTGCACCCCACGAGCCCCGCCAGGCACCGCCGCCTGCTGCAATGACGGCTGCTGCCAAGAGGCAGGCTGCGCAGGCAGGTGCAGCTGCGGCGGCGGTGGAAGCAGCACCTGCCCAGCGGCAGCTTGCTGCGGGGATGGAAGGGGCCGAGGCGGCGCCACGCTGGCGGGTGATGGGACCGCGGCTGCCTGCACAGCCTGCGGCTGGGCACGCACAGGCTGCAGCTGGTCGGCTGGCTGCTGGTCCGGCTTGGGCGCCTGCTGCTGCGCGCGCAGCGAGAAGCCCGGCGGGACGCGTCTGTCGTCTGCCGCCTGGCGGCTCGCAGGCTGCCGCGGGTTGGCTGGTGGCGGCGGCGGCGGCGCCTCGTCCTCCTCGCTGATATCCATGACAGAGGAGGTGGAGGGAGAGCGGGCGCGACTCGTGGCGCCCGCCACGTTGGCAGCCGCAGCAGGCACCGCCTGCTGCTGCTGCTGCTGCGGTGGCGGCGGCGGCGGCCGGCCTGGCCCCGATGCACCCTGTGGCGACTCCAGCGGCGGCGGGGGCGCCGGCTGGTGTGCCACCGAGGGCGACATGCTGCGTGGCTGGGGCACCGCCTGCTGCTGGCTGTGCAGCTGCACCGCCGCAGAGATCTCGTGGCGCAGCTGGGGCAGCAGGCGCTGCTGCAGCTCCTGCCGCAGGCTGGCCTCGATCTGCTGCTTGAAGTCCTGGAGCAGCTGCGGCAGCGAGGCGGCGGCAGCTGCGTCTGCTGTGCCGGCAAGCGCCGGAACTGCTGCGGCCGCCGGTTGGGAGGCGGCAGTAGCTGGGCATGGCACAGCCGGCTGCGAACCAGGCAGCTCAGCGGCATCTCTGCGAGGAGCAGCCTGGTGTTTTAGTTGCTGCTGCAGCTGGCGCCGCCCCGCATCACCCGCCTGCCACTTGGCCTCAGCCTCCGCTGCGCGCTGGTCGGCAGCCGCAGCCCGCGCCTGGACCGCCTGCACCTGCTCTTCTGCGGCGCGTGCCGCGGCGCTTTGCTCCCGCAGCTGCTCCTGGATGGCTGCTAGCTCGGCACTTTTGGCATCCAGCTGCTGCCGCAGCCGGGCGGCCCTCCACTGGAGCTGCTGCGAGGGCGAAGGCTGGGCAGCTGTGACGTCGCCGTCGGCGGCTGCCGCAGCGGGCCCCACCTCTGCTGCCTGCGGAGCTGCTTCCAATCGCAGGGAGGCTTCCACGTGAGGCTGTCCCGCGCCTAGCCTTTGAAACTCGGTGCACTTGGCCTCTAGCTGAACTGCAAACGGGCAGGCAGCGAGGGGGAAGCGGCACAAGCAGCGGCACGGTGACAGGCGGCAGCGAGCGGCGGCAGCCCAAACCCGGCAGCCAAGCATCGGCGCAGTGGCACTCACCGATGTATCCCCACAGGCGTTTGATCTCTGCATCGTCCACGGCTTGGACTTCCCTGAGCGCTGCCCGCAGGTCGGCGTTCTCCTGTCGGGCTAGTTGCAGCTCCAGCAGGCCATCGCCTGGAATCGAGTGCAGCACACGCTCCACAGCACTATCGACCAGAGCCGCCAGCTGCTCCTGCAGAGCCTGCTCCACATGAGCCTGCTCCATTCAGGGCAGCTCCCCGTGGCTGTCCCAGCACCTGTCGATCGATGTGAGATCGTGTCGCACTCGCGAGGAGGGCGCCGTCCCATTGTGGGGCCCGTCTCCGCCGCTGAGCTGGCCGCCGCCGCCGCCACCCACCACAGTGTGCGAAACAACCTCATTGACGGCTCAACAGGGACAGGTCCCAACTCGTAGTACACAAACTGGACTTGCAACTCGCAGAACGGCTGGTCCTGATTTATACTGCCGTCATGCATCCCAGGCCACGCAGGTCGGCGCCGGCGCCGTGGCTTTCGGCGCCACCATGAACAAGCCGATGCCATCCATGAACTCCAGCCAGGCGATGGTGGTGGGCAGCACCAGCAGGTTGCCCAGGAACACATTGGTCACTGCGACGCAGGCCGAGAGAGGTGGTGCAGGAGGCAGGCAGGCGCGTGTTGGCTCAACGACAGGAAGCATGAAGGTGCAGCGGGCCCTGCCGACTCCATGCAGCAGCAGCCCCACCTGCCACGTCCTCCCCAACAGAGTACGTCTTGCTCAGCGCAAAGGCGGCTGCAGGGAGCAGGCGGAGGCAGAGGTCACTTGCGAGTGACTCTTGACTCTGAGAAGGCGCTGCCGGCATGCTGGGTCCGCTGGCTGCATGCAAAGCCGTTGCCCACTCCACTCCCCCCCACCCACACACACACCCCTGGGCAACACATGCGTGCGGGGCCTCACCTGCTGAGACAGGCAGCGTGGCCACGAGCACCGCGGCCCGCGCATTCGCGCCCTCCAGCCCCACCGCAAAGCAGCAGCCCACCATGAGAGCCGGCACCAGCACCAGCTTCACCGCCATGTAAGCGGCGGCCCGCAGCCACCCGGTGGCAATGGGCCGCGGCCTCACCATCCACATGCCTGCAGGCGGGAGGCAGCGGCGGGGTCTCTGGGTGATGACCCAGCATCCGGAGCGGCAGGCAGCCGCCTGTCCGGCCCCAGCACGCATGCCTGCTCGTGTGTTCGCCCCTTGCACGCACGGGCTGCTTGCCTGTGGCAAAGAATGCCACCGGCTCGGTGCAGCGAGCAAAGTACTCGAGCAGCAGGAAGATGAAGCCGGCTCCCACGGCGTAGGTGCAGTTGGGCTGGGCCGGCAGGGTGCCAGGGTTGAGGTATCGGGGCCCCAGGGTGGAAAGGGAGAGCACCAAGCCGAGGCCCACACCCCACAGCACGTGGTTCATCACTAGGCGCAGCCCCAGGCGCTGGCCCTGCAGCAGAGAGGGGCGCGGCAGCCAGCGGCATGAGACGACACGGCGGCGGGACAAGGCAGGGTGCCAGCATTGCGGCAGGGCCAGCAGGGCAGCAGGGCTTGCTGGGGAGGGCAGCAGGCACGGCAGCAGCACCGGCAGGCATCCATGCACTGGACCAGCATCGTGGCCAGCCCGACCAGCACCTGCTTGCGCGTCATGTGCCACCCCATGCAGCCCAGCAGGCGCTGCCTCATCATGTCGCCCAGGCTGCTGCGCCCCGCGGCCGCCGCGCCGCGGGGCGGCGGCACGCTGCTGGCATCCACCACCGACAGAACCGTGGGCTGCTGCTTGGCCGCAGCCAGCCGCTTGGACCCGTCCCCAGCGCGCTGCGAGCCGTCATCGCCGCCACGGCGCCGCTCCGCCGCAGAATCCTGCCCCTGCGGCTGCGGCGGCGCCTGCTGCTGCTCCGGCAGTGCGCCATGGATGGTCTGCTGGCGCCAGGTGTGCACCTCAAAGAGGATGAGCATGAGCGGCAGCTGAAAAATGAAGGAACTGATGCCTGCCACCACCCCCAGGTTGGCATATTGCGGCCCCAGCAGCGCCCGGAGCAGCGGCGTGCCCAGGATCACTGCATGGCCAATGGCAGGCGGAGGAGTGGAGGCGCACAGAGGTGAACGAGTGGGTGTGGGAGCACAGGGCAAGGCCACCGCACTGCTGGCCTGCTGCGTTCCATCCATGCGGCCTCAATTTTGCCGTGCAGGCATATGAGCACGAGCCTAGCTTCCAGCGGTGTGCCAACTCCAGCCACTGCCGCAGCAAGCTCTCTCACCTGTGCTGATCCAGGTGGTGCTGAGCCAGTTGGCGGTCACTTCGCCCAGGGAGCGGCGCAGCAGCCCGCCAAACACCAGGGCGCAGGCAGCCAGCATGATGCCCCGCATCATCTGCAGCCAGCGGGAACAGGAGTGGGGAGGTGTTTGGCGGATGGGATGCCCAAGTGGGCCGCCTGCAGCGGCGCTGGTACGGGCAGCAGCCCTGCTGGCAGTGGCCAGCTGATGAGACGCACGAGGAACGCGCCGACAAAGCGCCAGATGTCGGCCTCTGCAGGGGCAGCGTGGGGCGCACGGCGGCCGCAGCCGGTTGGCTCGAGGGCTGGGGCACAGCAGGCCATCCCTGGCTCGCCGTGCGTGGAGTCGCATGCTTGCCTTATGCTGCAGCTGCTAGCATTGCCTGGCCTCGCAGCTGCCCTGCCTGCGCGCAACCTGCCCTGCTTACCCTCCCTTGCACTCACTGTAAGTCTACTCACTGTAGAGGTCTGTCTTCAGGCCCAGCCCCAGTATCACGCTGGCCGGCAGCGTGAACTTGAACAGGAAGACGTTGAAGATGCGCATGTCGTCCTGCGCGTGCCAGGGGCGGGGTGCATGCATGCGGGGCGTGCTGTGGAAGGAGGACACAAGGACGTGCGTCGGCACGGCTGGATCCCCAGGCAGCAAAGGCGGGGTGGCAGGCAGCTGGTGGGCGCCAAGGCGGATGAGGGAGGCGGCGCAGCGCCAGGCGCAGATACCTGGCGGAAGACGAGGGTGCGCCACACTGACAGGGCTCCAGCGGCCATCACCAGCAGGATGGCCAGGTCCTGCACCGGGGAAGGGGTAGGGGCATGTATGGTGCGGGCGGCACCGGAACGGGGCGCTGGCGGCGCCAGCAAGCGCTGCATGGGCGAGGGGAAGAGAGTGATGCCATCGCCGATGGCAGGGCCAGGCAAAGTTAGCGGGGCACACCTGGTTGAGGACATCCTGGAACTCCCACATGGCCGCCGTGTGGAGCTCTGTTGGTCGGCAAAGCGGAGCAGGCGGCGGCGGCGGGGGCAGTGAGTGGGCAGTGTCGGAAGTTGGCTGCACGGCGCGTGGGCAGCGCTCACTGCTGCGCAACTATTCCACTCGAGGGCAACGAGTTCGAGAATCGATATGAGCCGCGGGTTCGTGCTGAGTCAGACGGCTCCGAAAGAGTCCTTGGCTTCGGGGCGCCGAAAGGGACAAGGCGTATACGCAATTGCGCGACTACCACATTTGCAAGGCTGGAAGATTGGGGTTCTGGGTGCTTTTGGTGTTGCGCAGGACCCAGCATGTCCTGCTGTGCTGTGCTTCGCTCGGTTGGCATGCATGGGCGCTTTTGGCCCAAATTTGCATCAACCATCCTGCCCAATTTGTTCATTTTCGCAAAGGTGTTGCCAGTGTGACACAAATTGATGCAGTGCAAACAAACAGTCAAGGGCAAGGCCAGGGAGCGACGCAAGCGCCGGGTTCCAGGTACACGCAGGGCACAGGCAGGGCAGGGGGTGGTGCGCTAGTTGCGACGCAACAGGGCGGGGCTTGAGCCGCCGTGTCAGGTGGTGCAATCATTCATGCCCTCCCCCCAGCTAGGCTGCACGCGCTGCAACAAAAACAGCTCTAGCCGTGGACGCCGCGCCAGTGGCTCAGCCGGCGGCGCGGTCGGCAGGCGGGCTGCTTTACTTGGCGCGAGCCTTCCAGAACTGCAGCTCCGCAGCGACCACAGGGATGGCAACGCCGCCAAGCACAACCGCGCCCACGCCCAGGCCCATCTGCAGCATGAAGCAGGGGGATGCAAGTGGGTCATACACAACGATGTCACCCAAGTGTATGCTTCTCAAAATTGCACATGTGCGTGCTGTCCCTCTGGACCGCTGGCCCAGCCTCCGCCCGAGCTGATGCCCTCGAGCGTGGCACGGCGCGCACCTTCAGCTTGCGGTTCTTCATGGCCGGCAGGTTGTACTGCAGCACAGGCGCAATCAACACGGCGGTCAAGTGCGGTCGGCGCCATTGGCGCGAGGGCGGGGCGGGTGGGAGGCGGCAGGCGGGCATCCTGGGGATGGGCGCACATACCCCCTAACACCTGCTGGCGCTTGCAGCCGCAGCTGCTCACCATGTTGGGGGCGTGCTCGTAATCTGCGGCCCTCACGGCGCTAGAGTGGAACCCCCGGCGGGCCAGCTTGCTGGCGGCCTGCGCGATCCTCTGCATGGTGCCTGAAGTCGACCCAGCGGCGGGGGTCAAGCTGCAGTGAGCGAGCAGGCTGCGCCAGGCGAGGGAACAGGCTCTGTGGCCGCTGGCAGAGGACACTGCCAGATGCAACCTGGGCGGTCTGGGCCAGGCACGGCAAGGGTTGAGCGGCGGTGATGACGTGCCGGGCTCGGAGGAAAGGCGCCGTTTGCTTGCGCAAACGTCGCTTGCAGCGGCATCCGATAGTCACTTTCAACCCCACAAGACACGAATACAGAGATTTCTGGGACAGCTGAATGTTCCGCCATTTCGACACAGCACATGTTGAACATGCAAAGACCTACAGAAGTCTATTGGCATCACATGTTCTGCCGGCAATGTTGCAATGCTGCTGTAGGCGGGCAGGCTGGCCCTGGCGCGACCCATTCAGTGTGCCGTCGGCACTGCCCACCGTGCCGCTCCCACCATGCCGGCAGTCTCATCGGTGTCACAGGTCACAGCTTCTGATGGCGAAGAGGAGAGGATGACAAAGCGCCAGGCACTCACAGCCAGCCCACAGCCGGCCCACACTTGGGGGACAACAAGACACATCAAAATTGCAGCGCTCGCGATCGGTAATAAGTAAAGCTCAATGAAAGGCAGGGCGGGAAGACAAGCAACACGTAAAAGTATGGACACAACGCCAACAGCTGACAGTAATGCAAGGGGGCTGACGTGCCGCTGATGCGGCGGCGTGCATCTGCGTGCATCTCGCAAACTAAATCATACCCCCCCGGGCTGGTCAACCTGCTGACCAATCAACCGGATCTGCTCTGCTCCAGTGGCACCATTCGTCGTGGCACCATTCGTCGCTGCCGCCGCCGCTGCCACTCCGGAGGGCCCCAACCTCACTCCACGTTGGCCACCCGCTGTTTGAGGCGGTCCAGAGTGTCAACCAGCTGCCCGCGGGCCGCCTCCGCCTGCTCCACCCGCCGCACCTCGGCCGCGGTCAGCTGCAGCAGGGCGAGGGGCATTACAGCTTGCATGGCCCCCTTCCCTTGCTCAAATCCAACGCAGCCGCAAAGCTGGCCGGCTGGCTGCGTCTGGATTTCTCGCAGCCCCATGCTGCTGGGGGCGCATTACCCTGGGCCC